CAAATTCAAATAAAAACCACTCGAATTCAAGCATTTATTACCTCATATTTCATTATTTTGCTCTGCTTTAGCTCTGTGTGGAATGCGGTGCTCCTTCGGTGCTATACACCAATGTGTCTATGGAGCCAAGGTTACTAGAAATGCCCTAGTCTGAAAAGGAGTCTACTTATGAAGGCAGGTGCAAAACTTACAAGTACAGAAGAATAAGAAAAGAAAAACGTGTGATTTTTGATTAAAGCTGTGCAAATATGAAGCGTAAATGGCAGTGCGTGACTGGCTGGTGTTGTGAGTGGGACTAAGAACCAAGGACCAAAAGATGCATTTAATATGGAATTGGAAACACTGTTGACTATAGATAAACGATAATCAAATATCTCCTCTTTTTGAATAATGTCATAATATCATAGCTGTGTGTTTTGTAAGTAAAAGGCAAATGGTTTTTTCAAGCTGTGTATTTAGTGTTGTGTTTGATCTGGCGTCCTGAAGACAAACAGTAGTCCCTTATACATTGCATTTTATGTCAATGTGTATAGAATATAGGTTATGTAAATTCAGTTTGGGACCAGTTCGATATAAATGTATTCATGTATTGAGTCAATATGTGTGAGGTGTAGCTGTAGTGATGGTTGCCTTTTTTTTGTGTTTACCAATGAAAAGAACATTGTAGCTTTGAGAGTGTTTTTGAGATTTGGGATGGATTTTTTAAACAGTACGAATATACCCCATGCTCAATTTGAAGTTATAGAGTTAAACCTAGAAGTCTGTAATGAGAAAAAAAAGTGTGACTCACCTCTGTCACTGATGGTACTCGCAGTGTCCAGTTCGTTGGTCCCAGTTGCGTCCAGCAGCAGTTTACTGGACAGTCCCATGCAACAGGACTCCTTTCAGACACAACTCTGAGAAATAACAACAAACAATATTCAACAAGAGACAAAAACAGATCCAAAAGTGGTCTCATTGACTTTACAGGGAGTTAGGGTTAGCCTCGTTCAAGAAAGGGCCCAATGCTAAGTTCCACTTGCGTCTCAATACTGCGGGGGTTAGTCTTTTTCGGACCAGGTCTTTTTCGGACCAGGTCTGTTTAGCCGCTGTGATCGTTATTTCCAGCCCCAATTCAATCCCATCCATCCATCCATCCATCTTCTTCCCCTTAATCCATTTCTGGGTCGGTGGGTGGCAGTCAGATGCACCCAGTACACAGAGCACCAGCCCCTCACTGATCCTCCGGCAGGTGGTGAGTCCACAGGAGCTGAGATCTTTTTTTCAGCCAGGGCTTCAGGCAAAGCAGGGATAAGTGTCTTGCCCAAGGACGATTAAGATGATTATGAACTACTCAAACATTCATGAATCGCCAAAACAAAGCCAACCAAAAATAAAAAACAATAAAATCAACTTTTGAGAGTGTAAAATATGCGGGTGGTGGGTTGTTGTGTAAGAGTGGGGGTCGGTAGTAAATGACGAACGACAGGAACATAAAACACGTTGTCCACCACCAAAGCTTTATCTGAGTGTGCGAATCAGTCCATTTTGGCACGCTACTCCCCTTCAACCAGCTACTGTCCCAGAGAGTCTCGGGGGGGCGGGAGGGGGGGGGGGAGCAAAATTTAAAATTAAGTCATTATCTTTAGACAAAATGTTTTTGTGTTTGCTTTCAAAAAGAAAGATATTTATAAACTTCAAGTTTTAGTAAAGGTAACGCAGACAGAGAAGACCAGAATATAGTTGATTTGGCTTGGTTGGATGCCTGCTAGCGGTCGGGTCTGTGACGTTGGGTTTTTTGCCATATACTTATTGTAATTCAAACTCTCTTTAGTGGATTTTTTAAAAGGGTTGTGATCTTTTGTTTATGTGGTTGCAAGGCCGTGGGTTGGTGCACACGAATAATTAAGGGTTACACCAGCATCCGGCATATGTCGCTCGAAATACATCTGTATTACTTAATATTAAGGGTGGCTTGGAATACTAGGGGTTTGGATGGGGAGGTGGTTAGAGTGGTGGGAGTGGTGGTGTATTAGGCCGCCTCGGGGGAGGTTGTTGTGGCCTTGGCGTTTCTGCACCAATACAACTATACATTTTTGGGGTACCCCTATTGGCTTTTTATGTCATGTGCCTATAGAACTGTTGCACAACTTTTGGGCTCCAATCTCCTGCATTATATTTTTACCCCCCAGCATTACCACAACAATCGGGTTTGTTCCTCTTTCATGGCCCCTGGTCGTATCTTCTTCTTTTTTCTTTACCTTATTTAAAGACCCGGCATTGACAATTTATTCTGATGTCTTATTGCGGTGAGTCGAATGTTGTTTTTTTTAGACGTTTTTTTTAGACGATAATTGGGGAGAATCTCTGATATGAAAACTACTTTTTTCCATTGACAGTAAGTGGAGTGATGCATACCTCCTAAAAATGCATAAATTACATTCAGGACAACCCAAACCCATATCGCCTCGTATCAGTGGTCGGGTAAACAAAGCACTTTTAATTTAATGTTATTTCATCTTTGTATTTGTATCGTTTTGTTGATCGATATTTCACAGAGACAGTTTGTTTCCCGCACCTTTTTTAGTTATTTTATTTCCTGCACTTTTGGCCTCTTCTTGTTTGTAATTATGTTGTACTTTGTTTTTTTTGATTTTTTGTTGAGATGCACACTTGGGGGGAGACTATTGCAAATTGTGTTTACTCTCCAATGTTGTGTTTTTTTTTACGTCCAAATGGCAAATTAAAGCACCTAATTAATCTTTAATTGTTTAAAAAAGAGTTATTTATTATTTAAAAAAAGAGGGAAAAGGGAGAAGGGAAAAACATAACTGTAGGGAACGGGACATGAGGGTAAAATTAAAAAAGTAAAAAAAAAAAATAATAACATTAAAAAAAAAATATAAAAAAAAAAAAAAAAATTCTTTTTCATTACCTTAACCACTACATCGGAAGAGGAGACCACCTTCACGGACGGACATGGGGAGAGAGTAACATGGTAGAGAGGAGAGAGGAGAGAGAAGTAAGAACATGCAAACCTTCACCACAGGAGGAAAAAGGCCCCCCCCATCCCATTGTAATTCCCCCATTTATTCTTTGATGCAACCAAAGCGCCTGTAATTGTGTCGTATTAATTTTAAGGCGTATAATTATAATAACAATGAGCTTTTCTACCTTGAGTCGTGAATCGTTGATCAGTTTTATGTAGAGATTTTTTGGAGTCACAAAAAATATATATTTGATTTAAAGTGACACGCAAATATATATTTTCAAATTATTTTGAAGGTGATCTATTCTGCAACATTTACGCAACAAAAGTGTTTATACTCTTCTGTATTGAAGGCGTCGTTGCTCTGACCGACCCGTATTTTGCATGAATTATCATATTCATCTTTGGGAGAATTATATTTTCCAGCTTTGACCATATACAGTAGTTATTTTCCCTTCATTTGCACACTGGGTTTTCAGAGTCACCCAGGTATGTTTGAACAAGACACAATCGTATTTGTTGACATACGCTGCTGTCGGATATGGGTTTGGTGCTTAGGAAACTTAGAAAAATTACATATGCAGGAGCGAATTCTGAAAGAGAATAATGCAAATTGAAAATCCCTGGTGGATAGAACGTCCCAATGTCGAGGTAGTGATGGGCAGGAGTAGGGTTGTGGCCCAAGCCGAAAGTTGAATGAAGGGTTGGAGTGATCACAAGGTGAAATAGTGTCAACCGGGAAATCTACACTGCAAAAAGTGATGAAAAACAAAATACTTTGAGCACATTTTTACTTAAAACAAGATTTTTGTTGTGGCTCAGTTGGTTGCGCTTTGGCCTTTAGACCTGAAGGTTGTGGGTTCGAGCCCACCACAAGACCCACTTCACGACTCCTACTGATGACTGCTGTGCTTGTGTCCTTGGGCAAGATACTTAACCCACTGAAAGATCAAGGCTCCTGTGGACTGACCACCTGCAGGAGGATGAGTGAGGGGCTGGTGCTCCTGTGAACTGGGTGCAGCTGAACTGCTCCACCTCTGACCTGCCCCTGCCACCCCCCACCCCCCCCCCTCCCCCCCCCACCACCCCCCCCCCCCCCCCCCCCCACCCCCCCCCCCCCCCCCCCCCCCCCCCCCGACCCAGAAATGGATTAAGGGGAAGAAAATGGATGGATGGACAAGATTTTTGGGAAAAGCTAAATTTTCTTGTTTCAAAAATATACAACAGTTGCTTGACAAAATTGCTTGTCCCATTGGCAAATCAGGTTTTAAGTCAGAATGTACTCAAATTCAAATAAAAACCACTCGATTCAAGCATTTATTACCTCATATTTCATTATTTGCTCTGCTTTAGCTCTGTGTGAATGCGATGCTATACACAAATGTGTCTATGGAGCCAAGGTTACTAGAAATGCCCTAGTCTGAAAAGGAGTCTACTTATGAAGGCAGGTGCAAACTTACAAGTACAGAAGAAAAGAAAAACGTGTGATTTTTGATTAAAAGCTGTGCAAATATGAAGCGTAAATGGCAGTGCGTGACTCTGGTGTTGTGAGTGGACTAAGAACCAAGACCAAAAGATGCATTAATATGGATTTGGAACACTGTTGACTATAGATAAACGATAATCAAATATCTCCTCTTTTTGAATAATGTCATAATATCATAGCTTGTGTTGTAAGTAAAAGGCAAATGGTTTTTCAAGCTGTGTATTTAGTGTTGTGTTTGATCTGGCGTCCTGAAGAACAAACAGTAGTCCCTTATACATTGCATTTTATGTCAATGTGTATAGAATATAGGTTATGTAAATTCAGTTTGGGACCAGTCGATATAAATGTATTCATGTATTGAGTCAATATGTGTGAGGTGTAGCTGTAGTGATGGTTGCCTTTTTGTGTTTACCAATGAAAAAGAACATTGTAGCTTTGAGAGTTTTTGAGATTTGGGATGGATTTTTTAACAGTACGAATATACCCACTCAATTTGAAGTATAGAGTTAACCTAGAAGTCTGTAATGAGAAAAAAGTGTGACTCACCTCTGTCACTGATGGTACTCGCAGTGTCCAGTTCGTTGGTCCCAGTTGCGTCCAGCAGCAGTTTACTGGACAGTCCCATGCACAGGGACTCCTTCAGACACAACTCTGAGAAATAACAACAAACAATATTCAACAAGAGACAAAAACAGATCCAAAAGTGTTCTCATTGACTTTACAGGGAGTTAGGGTTAGCCTCGTTCAAGAAAGGGCCCAATGCTAAGTTCCACTTGCGTCTCAATACTGCAGGGGTTAGTCTTTTTCGGACCAGGTCTTTTTCGGACCAGGTCTGTTTAGCCGCTGTGATCGTTATTTCCAGCCCCAATTCAATCCCATCCATCCATCCATCTTCTTCCCCTTAATCCATTTCTGGGTCGGTGGGTGGCAGTCAGATGCACCCAGTACACAGAGCACCAGCCCCTCACTGATCCTCCGGCAGGTGGTGAGTCCACAGGAGCTGAGATCTTTTTTTCAGCCAGGGCTTCAGGCAAAGCAGGGATAAGTGTCTTGCCCAAGGACGATTAAGATGATTATGAACTACTCAAACATTCATGAATCGCAAAATCAACTTTGAGAGTGTAAATGACGAAGGAACAAAAACACGTGTCCAAAGCTGCGAACAGTCCATTTGCACGCTACGTCCCCTTCAACCAGCAACTGTCCAGAGAGTCGGGGAGCAAATTAAGTCATTATCTTAGACAAATGTGCTTCAAAAAGAAAGATATTTATAAACTTTAAGTAACGCAGAACAAAGCTGCTGCTCTGTGACGTTTGCCAAATACTAATGTCATCAAACTCTCATTAGTGGATAAAAGGTTGTTCAAGGCCGTGCACACGAATACTAAGTGTTACACCAGCACCGGCAAAGAGCTCGATACACAGAATAAAAAAGGTGGATTGGATATTCTCCTGTTTAGTTTTTTTGCTTGCACCAAAACAACAACATTTTTTTACCCTATTTTCATTCAGAATTTTCCACTAGAACTTTGCACAACTTTTGGCTCTGCATTACCAAACAAACGGTTGTATTTAATGTTTGCTTAAAGACCTGCATTGACAAATTATTCTGATGTTATTGCGTTAGACGATAATTGGGATAATCTATGATATTAAAACTACTTTTTTATTGCCAGTGATGCAACTAAAATGCAATACATCAGGACAACCCAAACCCATCGCTGTTATCAGTGTAAACAAAGCACTTTAATGATATTTCACTTGTATTTGTATCGTTTTTGTTGATCGATTTCACAGAGACAGTTGTTTCCCGCACTTTTTTAGCTTATTTTATTCCTGCACTTTTGGCCTTGTTTTATTTATGTACTTGTTTGATGCACACTGGGGACTTTTGCAAATGTACTCCAATGTGGTTTTACTCCAAATGGCAAATTAATCTTAATTGATTAAAAAGAAAACAAACTGGGACATTAGGTAAAAATTCTTTTCCAATTACTTCACTCACTACATCGGAGACCACCTACACGGACATGGGGAGAACATGCAAACTTCACACAGAAAGGCCCCATTTATTCTATGTGCAAAGCGTAATTATAATGGCTTTAAGTTGTCAGGAAACATTCTGAAAACGGTAAATACTGTGAAATATTGTCATGAACTGTGGCTCTTACACAAATGGAGTTTAATGACCCACTTCACCTCGCTCATCTGTGGGTTGAAATAAACGCAAATGGAGCCGATAGAGGCTGGAAGTGGTGAGCTATGATTCCTTTACATAAAAATAAATAAAAAAAGGCACAGATGGAGCAACACCTCTCTGAACCGTTTCAAAGGTGTTAACTGAACTTAATGTAAATCTATGTGTCACCAGAATGCATGAAAATATGGTGATTGTTTTGGTGACGAGAAAAGATCACCGCAAAATCTCCTTTGGGAAATGCATTGTTTTAGTTTTTTTGTAGTTTTTTTAGTCTGTCGGTTTTGGCTAAAGCATAAAAGTCTAAAATATCTAAATATTCAACCACTCAACACTCCAGTAGAAGCCATTTTTTAAATAAACAGCGCAGGTGATAAATACTGAAGCCCAAAGTATATTGTTTTATGCATCAGTGGTTGTATGATACATAAGATATTTTTTCTTTAATAAAAATGATGTGTTTTTTAAAGATAATATTACTTGTTATTAATATTTTTTATTGATTTAATTTACAAAGTGGGAAAATCATGATCGACTGGCAGATAATTTTGCTTGAAACTAGTACATTTCCCCTAATAGTTGCTATTTTTAGTTTTTAGAGCCACCTTTTGCAGCGTAAGATGTTTTATGTTTATGAGACGTTACAAAAATAAGTTTCATTTTTCTTAAAATCAGACCCGAATTGTGCAGCAATGTTTTGTCATTTTTGGCTTATATAAATAATGAAAAAGATGGGATATCTTGTTTAAAGTGATTACCATTTTTTTTTTATATCACACAACCCAGATTTGAAAATTGGTTATTCTGATAAATGATACAAATGCAAATATTCTCTTCAAATATCACTTTGGGAATTTGTGTTTTAGCTTGAGCTTAGAAAATATGTGGAATGAAAAGTCCATAATCAAAGTAATCTACTGGAAAAAACAAAACAAACAAAAATCGCCCAAATAAATACATAATTTGGAGACAGAAAGGCAGAATAATCAAAAGCCGAGTCTATTGTGTAACTGGTGGGTTTGAATGGATGAGTTCAACATCAGATATGGATGTTGAAAATGAATCATTCTTAACTTTTATATCTACAATTTCAAGCTTCTGTTCAGTCACAAACTACGACAGGGTGAGTTCAGGGCATAGGGCGCCGTGAGACAGGAAGTGGTGACCGTATTTGGAGCAGAGGATCCAAAACATTAAGTTGTACATTTTGATTACACACAGTGACAGCAGTGTGCACAGTCCACAAAGGAACAACTCATGTGAGGGAACAGAGACACGTGACCTGCTTGCTACTGCCGCCTACTGGTGAAAACGAAGGAACTCGCTGTCAAGTTTAGAACCTGTCCAATCATGACAGTATCTTAAAGCTGGAGTACCTACATTTTCTGAGTTTATAACCACAGCATGCCATTTTCATCTTATTAGAAAACGTTTTTATCTTTTACAGACTGAGAGATGATTAGCTACATGCATGCAAAAACTAGCTATAAAACCAGAGAGAGAAGAAATAGTTACATGTTTTTACTCCGATATTTTTTTTGGGTGGTTTCAAATTTAGGTATTTCAGCTTTAAAATAACAGTTTTTGTTACCATAAAATTGTTCCTTCCTCCAAATAGACTATTTTCATGTAAAGCTTGTGGCGTGCAAATCTCAATACAGAAAAGTCACTGTTGATGCATATAATAATTTCATTCAATACCAGTTTCAATGATTTAATTTATTCATATTTTTCTGGACAATTATTGGTCATTTTTAGTATTCATACTAATTCAACGTTTCTGTAGTGTGTATTTTATTTTAGTTATATTTACATATCCTGTTTTTCTTTCCCATTTAACAACATCATTTACAGATAAAGCTCTACAATATGATGCTTTTGTGGGAGAAATTAGCTCACAATGAAATAGTTCCGTTACCTAATATCTAGACAGTATGTAGGCCTGATATTACCTTCCCCCTCCCTCTATCACTCGTGTTTAGTTAAATAAACCGCTCTTTTGTTGTTTAGCCGGTGACATTTACGGATCAGAAAAGAATCCACTTGTCCTCTATTTGCTGCATTGTTGTCTTTGGCTGAGGCGGCGAGGTGAGGACACTGCTATTCAAACAAGTGTGTCATAAAAGTGCATTATAATCCATGTAACTGAGAAAAGCTGCAGTGTGTGTGTGTGTGTGTGTGTGTGTGCGTGCGTGTGTGTGCGTATGTGTGCGTGTGTATGTGTGTCTGTGTGTGTACGTATGATTGCTGTTCAAAGGCGGGTGTGGTCCCAGGGATTTTTATCACCTGCTGATGCAATGATTGAAATTTTTATGTATCTAAATAGTTTGAGCATGAACATGTTGTCCCTTTCTCTTATAAAATCCTTTTGCAGATCCAGAGATGCAATTTAACCCTGTTTTAAACCTACAACATATTTTACCTCGACACATCTGCAGATTTTTTATGGGGGAACTATGTTGTAACATGAATGACGACTTCTTAGTATAATGCATGATATACATATATTTAAATGTGTCATGTGTATCTTTTACATTTCTGGTCGGATTTTCACACATGGAAACAGAACAGACGATTGTGACAATAATTAGGATTGATTCATTGTTCAAAAAATAACGGATAGAACAATATATTTGGGGCAAACTACTTATGGTATATTTTCTTCTCAATGGTAATGTAATTTGTATTTTCAATATTCGATTGTGATCTATATGATTATGATTTATATTATTATACTATTCATTAGGGACATACCCCCTTAGAGCGGTGTGTAACTGTTAAAATATGTGAATTTTGTCCCCAAAAGTGCCCTTTTATCTGTTTTGTCAAAATTACATAAATCTTCACAACAATCTTCAAACAACACTAAGTAAATATCCATGGCCAGTTTGGGATCACTGATTTTTATAGCTTTGATTAGTTTGATTTGCTCAGAAACGTGACACAGAGACCGTAAGTAATGTCCCCCAGATGTCATAAAATGGTGTGGCATAAAAAAAGGCCAAAGTGTGAGCAAAGGTATAGGCCCCCTCATCTCTGTTCATGGTCCGTGCGCCCTGCTTCCTGATTCTGATTGCCTCTTGTTTCCATCTTTTATATTTATGTTCTTCCATTCCTACTATTTTGTCAAGTAGTCCAGCAATACTAGCTTCTTTACACTCCTTTTGTCTTGGTAGAAGAACATCCTAAGCCTTAAAATACAGAAGACATAACAAAAGGCCTGTTTGTCCCATGAAGCAGCTCTGCAACAACCACACCATCAGTAACACTAATATACATACATTATAATTTCCTGGGTGTATTGGATTTATAATAAAATCTTGAGTGGCGTTTCCCTTGCTGTGAACAGTGTGTGTGTGTTACCGGTGTTGTTGATGGCGTGCGTCCACAGCAGCTGGGCCACATCGTGAGCCCAGGTCTCTTTGGTCTCTCGGTCTGCAGCCTGAAGCGTCACACAGTCTTTAGTGCGGGACGACGATCGCACCCAGACCTCGAACCTCAGCCCGTCCTCCCCCACGCTCTGGGTCAGGCCCATCTCCCCCGTCTGACAAAGATAAGAGCACACACAATATAAGGATTGATCAAGTTTATACTCGACTTTTTGGGCTTTAAAACATGTTTTAAATTTGTTTTACTGCCATCAATGCTTCCTATGTGCTGCTGTATGTTGTGTGATATCAATTTGTTTGCAACCTGTTGGATTCAGAATCATAGAGTGTATTTACACTTCTAGTTCAATTCTAGTTCACTTGGTAGGACAAAGGCAAGTTTATTTGTGTAGCACAGTCCATACACAACAAAGCGAAATACAAACAATCACACAAGTAATAAATAATCACAGCACATTAAAAAGAGTAAAGAGTAAATCCCTCAGTTGTATGCACGCAGCTAAACAGAACTGTTTTTAACCTGGATTTTCAAAATTGTCAGAGTAGAAGCCTGTCTCACATTTTTACGAAGACTTTAGCGGCATGAATCTGAAATGTTGCGTCCCCATCTTTAGTGCTGACTCTGGGCACCAGCGGGAGGCCAGTCCCTGTTTGTTCATTGAGCACTGACATTGTCACTTCAGTCAGTTAATTTAAAAAAAAAACTGATCTGTGAAACATGAAAAATACATATTCTCAAAGTCATGTTTAAATTCCAAAAGAAAACACACATTTTTACCGTTGATAAAAAACGATAAGTTCGTGTAAGCCCTCAGTCGTACAGGGATTAGTCAAAGCAAAGGAAGGTTTCTCACCCATCATTTGTACTTCTTAGCAAATTTTCCCGACGTTTCGTCCTCAATCCTAAGGACTTCTTCAGGGAATGAATTCTCAGACTGCGCGTTGGAGATTTATAACCTATGGGTGTGGTTAGCCACACCCTAATCCTGATACTAACTCATAAACAATCTAAGGTCTGTTTGATGTAGAAGGGAGCAGGTCTAACGACCCTGCAGAGGCTAACGACCCTAACTCATTAGCATGACACTGACCACAAGGTCTCCAACGCGCGGTCTGATAATTCATTCCCTGAAGAAGTCCTTTGGATTGAGGACGAAACGTCGGGAAAACTTGCTAAGAAGTACAGATGATGGGTAAGAAACCTTCCTTTGCGTTGATAAAAAACGTTAAGGTTAGTATACCATTGTCACAAAACTAATGGCAACTTCATCCGAATTAGATCACCACAATACCTCTCAGTATTTATACATACTACTTTAAACTCTTAAATAAATGTATTACAATTTACAACTAAAACTTGAAAAAAGCTGAGTTTGCATATTGTCTCCTTTATGAATAAATTGTACGGTGGCACGGTGGCTGAGCGGATAGCACTCTCGCCTCTCAGCAAGAAGGTCCTGGGTTCGAATCCCGGTCGGACCAGGGCCTTTCTGAGTGGAGTTTGCATGTTCTCCCCGTGTCTGCGTAGGTTTCCTCCGGGTACTCCGGTTTCCCCTACCACTAAAAAAAATATGTACAATAGTTCTGGCATGCGCCTCCGGTACTGGCCCCTCCCATCTCTGTGTGGAGTGAGAGACAAATGCCCCAAAAAAATTAAAAAAAAATTGTAAACCGCTTTGAGACTCAGATCTGCAGTGAAAAGGCGGTATATAAATAAAGATTACTTACTACTACTACTAAATTGTATTGTATTGAACAAATCCTATGTATTATTTACATTCAGCAGCAGGTGCAATGTTTAGATAAATGCTGTGTTGTGAAATCTTGACATTATCGGATCGTGTTGCATCAGAATCGTATCGTATCTCGAGGACGTGTGACTCCCAGTCCTGTATTTTAACACTTACAGAAAAACAACACACACTGAAGATACATGCAGCACAAAAGGCTCAGAGAAGCTTGACTGATTGGTGTTGTCTTTTGAATGAATCAATAGTGAAATTGGATTCTCGTGCAGAACTCTCCAAACAGAGCGCCCCATTGAGACGACGATAATGAGAAATAGAATGAAAAACGTGCAGTAAAAGAAGATGGCGAGATGAGATGAGGTGGACCATAGACGGGAGAATATCTGACCTCAGGACTGTACCACACAGACATGAAAACACACACATCCAGAATGATCCTTTTGACGCTACGAAAATCTATTATTCTAATCTGGAACCTCTGCTTTGCTTTTGGTTTCTGAAGTATAGTCTGAAAACATGTGCTAAAACAGGGACCACACACTGCTTTAATGTTTTGATGGTTTTAAATACCTTTGTGATTTTAATTATGTTTTAATGGTGATTTTGCTGTTTTACGTGATGATTTTTGCCTTGGCTGCGGCTGTAAAGTGCCAAACTGCCGTTGAGTCCTTAGGAAAGACACTTCACCCCCATTGCCTAGAATGAGTCTGGTGTGTGTGTGAATGGTTGGTGGTGGTCGGAGGGGCCGATCGCACATACTGGTTGCCTCACTTCTGTCAGTGTGCCCCAGGGCAGCTGTGGCGACAGTAGTTCATCAAAGCGTCTTTGAGTGTCCAAAAAAATATAAAACTGATGCATTATTATTATTTGTGTGATGTGGACTGTGAAGCGCTTTGTGTGGCCCAGTACAGGAACCCCCCCACCCCAAAATGGACTAATAAAGGGGTAGAAAATGAATGAATGAATGAATGACTGAAGTACAACCTCCAATGCAAACCATTTTAACTGTGTTTGAACATGCTTATTTAGATAACAGTTGCAATTATCTAAAAGCATTCAGGAGAGTCTTTCTGAAAATGTGAGACTGTGGCTTAAACTCTGACAATGTTCAAATCCAGGGTCAAAACCTTCGTACAACTGAAGAATTGGATCTACACTCATTTTAATATACTACGATTATATGTTTTGTCTGTGATTGTAATGTTCTCTGCTTTGTTTAACCCTTGTTTATGAACTGTGCTGATTTAACTTGCCTTTTTGTAAGTTGCAAGGGTTTTCTAACTGGTCCCAAAAAGGCCTACAGGTTTTGTTTCCAACCTAAGCAGGAGCACATCAGACTCCACCCATTTCCTCAAGTCTTCAGGCTAAAACTGGACTCACCTGCGGGAATGGGTTGAGTCTGGTGTGGTCTAGCTTGGGTTGGGACTAAAACCTGCAGCCACACCGGCCCTTTGAGGACTGGTTTGACATCTGTGGTCTAAGAGATAATGCCTTTTTGAATATAAGCCGTTGTTATAATGTTTATGTCCTTTAGCTACTAAAACTTTATGGAGTCAAAATAATTAGTCCATAAAATCTGCTCTGGCAAATTCCACTGCAATAAAAAATACACATATTAGTCGCATCACTGTAGAAGCCGCAGGGTTTAAAGAACTAGAAAAAAAGTTGCAGCGTAAATTATGTCAGGAAATTATGGTATTTTGATTGAATTTTGCAGAAGAATAAAAGAAAACTAAAGTATACCATAGTTATTTCTCCAGTATATGGACTCACTATACAGGGAATGACTTATTAATTTCCATCCATCCATCCATTTTCTTCCCCTTAATCCATTTCTGGGTCGGGGGGGTGGCAGTCAGAGCTGCACCCAGTCACAGAGCACCAGCCCCTTACTGATCCTCCTGCAGGTGGTGAGTCCACAGGAGCTGAGATCTTTCAGTGGGGGCTTCAGGCAAAGTGGGGTTAAGTGTCTTGCCCAAGGACACAACGACAGCAGTCATCAGTGGGAGTCGTGAAGTAGGTCTTGAGGTGGGCTCGAACCCACGACCTTCAGGCTCAAAGGCCAATGCTCTACCAACTGAGCTACTGTCGCCCCACTTATTAATTTTATTTTTTTAAATCTTTTTTTTAATGTGTCTTTCTGGTATAAACCTGTTTCTCTTGAGTCCGAAATAAAGTACTGAACTGAACTGAATTGAATATGTTGAGTCCATCCAATGCAGACAGACTACAAAAGCAAATAAATAGGTCTGGTTCTCGGCTCGATTGAAAAGCACACTTTGGATGTTGTGTATTTTGTGTATTTTTGTATTGTGTGTGTGTGTGTGTGTGTGTGTGTTTGTGGACGGGACCTTGATGCAGTGCTTGTAGCTGTAGGTGCTGCGTCCCGGGGCAGGACTCTTCAGTTTGGTGAAGACGAGCGCGTGCTGATAGAGGAACACGTCTCGGACTCCACTCCACTTCCTGCGCGCTCCTCCACACACGGTCAAGACACCATGACGCACCAGCTCGCCACGCTCTGCCACCGCCATCTGACACACACACACATCACACGCTAGAAAATACTGACCAATACTGACCATCTGGAGTTTTTAGTTTGATATCATACTCTATGGCTTATAAAAATAGACATGGCCAATCTTGCGTCGGCCGGAGCTTTCTGAGTGGAGTTTGCATGATTCTCCTCACAGTATGTCTGGAAGGGTGGCTCTCCTCCAGGCTGCTCTAGTTTCTCCCCAAAACTTGCACCCAAAAGTCAAATCCTTCAGCTCCAGTATAGTCCTGACCAGAGCTGATCAATATGGTCAAAATCTCGATATTCATGCCAGATATGATGCGTTCGATGTAAAACACATGTTTAATTGAAAATCTATTGGGACTTTTGTGAAAAATCTGTATTGTTTATTTTGTTGCTTTTTCAATATTAAAATCTTGAATGTTCAGGTGTCCCTAGAGGCTTCAAGGTTCATTTTCTTTATTTTTATTGTCACATACACAATACACCTACACAGCAGTGACATTCTTCTGTACCTTCTAGCAGATATATTGTGATGAAATTATGCAAATATTTTCAGTCTCGTGGGCTGGAAAGGATAAATGTATGACACTAAAGTTATCACCGTGCTTTACTGGACCCATTCATTTTACCTGTACAAGTATTCCTTTGTACGTGGCCTCAGACAGGGGACGGGAGTGGGGTGAGTGAGGCACGGTGGTACGGGGTCCGATCGTACGTGCTTTTAGTGGTAGGGGAAACCAATGCAGACGCAGGGAGAACATGCAAACTCCCGTAAGGAAGTCTATGTTAAAACCAGGATTCGAAAGACCTTCTTGCAGAATTTAGCGTTATTATTAAAGGCAGATTCAACAGCATCCAGAGCTGCTGTGGCTGGTGGCAGTGACGTAAACAGAGGGGGTGCCAATAGAACCGCAACACCTAACTACACGCCAACATTCTCAATCAAACGTGTCCGGAGTGTCCAGAGCAAGATCTCGAGGAAACCCTTACCTCACCTTTCCATTATTCTTCGTTGTCATATTTTCTTGTTTCTCTAAATGTACTTTTAGTGTGTTTTTGAGGAGACGTTTGGTCCATAGAATCAGCTTCATTCTGCTCTTGATAGCGGGACAAAGGCTGCAGTTGTGATTACAGAGTCTTGCGTGGTGACAAAACCCCGCTCCACCAGTTTCACTTTTGTTGGATTGTGACTCTAATTGGGCCTCTGAGTCAGGCCTTTGAGAAAACGTGACTTTATTGTTCATGTCAATTACAGAGCTGTGGATTCTTTGTACGGACGGACGGAGAAAAAAATGGAATTCGTTGGAAAATAACGTGGGATTTGGATGAAGACGTTAAAAAGGCAGCTTCACTTTTTTCGATCTTTTTCAAGCTGTGAGGACACTGTCAACACCTGATGTTATTTTTGAACAGTTATAAGAGCCGACATGAGGTATGTGAGATTCTTCCGCAGTATAGAATGTGTAGTATATCCTCAGTTTGTATTTACATTAGCCTGGTTGTCTAGTCTGAGTGCATTTTTTTGTAATTTACAGGCCCAAAATAGTTGAAAATGTGTGTATAATGTTTCTCTGATATGACATTACCTACCTAAACCCCATAACCAGATTTTTTTTTTACAGGATAGCAAGGGAAGGGCCTGAAATAAAATAAATAAAACAACATCTCTAAAATTCCTGGATGCTAAAATACTTGTACATGTGTTTCACAAGTAGCTTGGACAGGCTTGTTCCAGGTCTTCCTCTTAAATCAGTCCAGCACTTCCAACTCATTCAAAATGCTGTGGCTCGCTCAAGATCTGCTTCTTCCAACCCCTTTTCAAACTGTTTATTTATGTTTATTTGGGGATCCGGTTGTTTTATGTCGAAACAAGACACAAGTTTGAAATAAATATTGAATTGAATTGATTGATCCTCATTGGCTCCCAATTCAGGCCTGGATTGGCTACAATCTGGCACCCTCACATATCTCTGACTTGCTAGTGCCTGGTCATCTTGTTTTAGTCTTCCCAAGATGTTTTCGGTAACTAGCAAAACATGTAAAAGCTTGAACTAGGATGGAAAAAGACAAATGGATGGATTAACAAAAACATGTGACGGATAAGTCTCAGATAAACAAGACAGGAGACGACATTCACAACTATACGGAATTAATTTGTATTTGGTTATTTTTTCTTTCAAGGCTTACATAATATTTCATTAAGGATTTCTATGTGTCTAGTCCTCTGTTCTTCCAGTTCTGCAGATATATTTTTTGTAAACAAATAAATAGACTGATACCCAATGGGATGGCAAACTAATGTTTTTCACTTATATTGTTAGATTGCGCCCTTCTCACTTCAAACTCTGTCCATTGTTTTAGTCAACCACTGTCTTTGTGAAGCCGATTGAGTTGCGGTCCTGCGTGAAATAAAATGTTTTCTTCTTCAACGTAATCGCTGACTGGCAAGGCCTAACCTTTTTACCCACTGCTAAACCAAACCAGACTGTGGCAGCAGCACTGGGGGAAAGGCCATCCTTCACATGTCGCGCTTCCTCTACTGCCCTTTGAAAATCACTGAGTATATTTATGTTTATTTGCACCAGTTCTTCATGTGGTGCCGAGTACTTGGAAACGCACATAATGAGTGTTAGGTCTGCTGTTCACTCACTTCAGAAGTGCTTAAACCAACGCACAATATTACTCAGACGTTAGTGTGGGAGTGAGAGTGCTACACAAAGCTTTTTATGAAACATTATGTTTTTTCACGATCTATTTTTGTATGATTTGTGTATTGGGCAAAAACCTAAATACAACTTATCATTGAAGTATTTTACAAATATAATGCATCACTAAAAAATAGCCTCCAAAAAATACAAATTAATTGAATGTGATAAAAGGCTACAATTTTGTGCATTAATTTATAATTATGATATTTTTCATTTATTAATTTAATATATTCCATACATTTTTTGCTATGGGGGTGTTCCATATTATGCCCATAAACCATTATGAATGGACTGACGTGTTGGTTGCCCATGAAAAATTCTGATTTGTGCAACTTCCTTATATGGGCAGTTGTTCCGAGGGTGGTTAACTTTGTGCCATAACAGGGGCAGATATGTTGCTAAGACGGTTGCTAAGGCTACCTGGAGTCCCTCCCGCGAAGGAATGCATCTGATTCTGCAATCTATTCTGGTTTTATCCTTATCTGCGATAATGCTGCAGTGAGTAAGTCTGATTGTGTGTCTCTGTGTTATTGGTTATGTGAAGAGCTATCATTTTGTTTAGGAATACATTATGCCTTTGAGTGTGTTAGTGTTATTGACTGCAACAGGCATCTCACCGGGCAGCCCGTGATGAGGTCACTGGCCCGCAGATCGTCACCGTGGCGCTGGGCGTGTCTCAGGACGGAGAGGGCGGAGTCGGTGGCGGGGTTTATCCCTCCCAGCTCCTCCAGGGCGGCGCAGTACTGCTCCAAACGCTGCACCGGAGCCTCCAGACATTGAGGGAAGGAGAGCGGAGATGCCGGGGAGGCCATGGGCAGCTTCGACTGTGGACAGAGGAGAGGTGAAAGAGCGCCAACTACTGGGATAAGACTGCACACACATCTGAGATTCAAGTTGTGTCTGAATGTCCACCAACAGTCCACTAACAATTCGTCCTAACCTTTACTTTACTGTAGTGTCGCTCTCGGTAACGGACGTAAACATTTGAACAAACCAACTAAAATAATACAGAAGTTTTTATCTTAATTTGAGAACATTCTGACTGTCTTAAAAACAAGATTTGCCAATGAGACAAAGACATTTAGTCTTATTTCAAGTCCTATTTTCTCATTCCAAGAGAGACATTTTTTGCTTTATGGCAGTCAACATTTTCTAAATTAGGGTACATTTTGCCAAATTGAGCATGTTTTGACTTTTAGACTTTTTGCATAGTTACATTTATTGTGTATTATTTATAGTATTAGGTATTAGGTAACACTTTTTAATCTTTATTTTAATATATTTAATCTGCTTTAATTTGTCAAACTTTGAAATGTATTTAAAATGTAAGCAGTAATATTAATGAAACACATACTTAGTATTAATTGATGGAAGGATAACACCAACTTCAGGCCTGTTTTTTCATGAACAACAACCAATTCAGTCAATGTCGCATTTTATGTGTCCTTTGAAATGTCCTTGTGCGGCGCATTCTCAATTTATCTTTACTTGTATCACATATTTTATCAGTAATTATTCAAAGTGCTGCAACTATTTACAGTCTATGGCTGCAGTCTACCGCATACAAAAACACTCTTGTGCACACTCTGGGAGAGAAAGTGATGAGTCTACAGCTGTTCTATCTACTTTTCATTAAATTTGCAAAAAATGTTCTTTGATCAGTTTAATAATCATTACTGTCCTATTTTTTACGACTCTTGTAATACATTGTGGACTACAGTGAGCCAGCTGAGTGCACTACTTTTTCACCAGCTAGACATTCACAGACCTTAAAACATTTGTAAACATTCTGAAGTGGAGGCATAAGTGAGATGGATAAAGTACAATACAATACAATACAATTTATTCTTGTATAGCCCTAAATCACAACAGAAGTCTTTCTCAGAGGACTTAACAAAACCATTGAAATCACCAACACAGATCAGAGAATCAACAGTTAAGAAGTGAATGTGATGCTGCGGCTTCAAAATAGAGACGTGACTTATCCCAAGATTATATCATAATATAAGAAATCAAGCCGTGTAAGGCAAATTATGCGCAAAACAAAAATAAATATTGTTTAAGTTAAGGGGGGGAACTGTCTTTTTTCATAGACTCGTCTGTGGTGAAGATTGCTTGTTGTGTTGCTGCTTCAAGTACCACTTAATGAGCATCCAATTAAAATCATTTGGAGATGACTGTTTTAATTTGTCTGTTAAAAAAAGAAAAAAACAACAAAAGACACTAGAAACACTAACAAAAAACTCACATCTTCAACACTGTTCAACAATAGAGGGGATACAGCCGAGAGAAATCACTCACAAATGAAAATGCTGCTTCTATATGAAATAATAACTTTTTGGAATTGGAGAGTGGCAGAAAAGATTTTAAAGGTGGCTTATGTGGAAGACGTTTTGATTTGTCTGAAGCAACCTGTCGCCATTTCCACTGAATCAGAGTCAGAGAGAGCTCCCCTGGTGTTCTGATTGTAAAAAAATATATAAAAATCTAATCCATTACTGAATCATTATGTGTGTGCAATACTAGATAGCAATGCTTTTCTCCCCAAAAAATGAAAACGTATTGCAATTAATGTATCTACTGTATTTAGATTTCGGATGTATTGATTGTCATGATTTGGCTGTTGGTCTTTCACAAATAATTTATGCATTATACTGTATTTATCTTTTGTCTTTCGTTAATCTGTAAGAGCCCTGAGTGTATTTGACACTTGAGGCTGAAAGCAGATTGGCTGAGAGATGGTGGCCCTCTCTTTTTCACATATATGATCGAAAAAGGTGATCCAAACATGTGACAGAAGTGTATAAAAAACTTTCTGTTGGTGCTAGGAACTATTTTTTTTTTTACAGAGTTATTAATTTTGCTTTAAAAGTCAGGTACCTCAGCTTTATTTTTATTTAATATGGGGATAAAACCAACTGCAGATCTCTTTTTTCATGAACAACAACCAATTCTCATGTCGATTTTGCCTTTGAAATGTCATTGTGTGGCGCAATCCTAATTAATCTTTACTTTGTTTCATATTTTATCAGTAATTATTCAAAGTTCTCTTTTCCACACTTAAACGTACACAACATGTAAAAAGATGTGTTAAAATGTCTTTTTATATGTAAAAAAAAAACTCTTCCCCAAAGTGTGCACACGCTGCCTCCTTGTGGTCATGTGACAACAGTGCGACAGCTGTGATCTAATGTGGACTACTTTCACATAAACCGTTAATGCATTTTGTATCATATCTGAGTAAAAGCAAATTACTCTCTTTATAATGCGCTGTTTTCATCTTATGTTAAACGTGTCATTTCACCTCACTACAAATTGCTCTAATTACAGCCAGAGATGAATAAGGCCACTTTAATTGCTCTGCACTCGAGATGCTTTCAACCTCTTTTCATATGTACAGTCTCCAATCCTTTTCCCAGAACTGTAGAGAGCAAATGATTACGACTAATTTGACAAATACTAAAAACGTTTTGCTCTTTTGTTAGTTGTTTACAGACTTTAGTTTACTCACGAAAAACACGAAAAATATGCTTCTATGTTTTACCTTGAAGAAGTCCGCTGCCTGAGTGACCAGTGGAGAGTCCAGCTCTGGTTTGGATCTGATGTACTGGGAATAGTCCATGAACTGCTCCCGCTGTGAAAAAAACAAACATAAAATGTTATACCACTACATTCTATTGCTTCATAAGATTGACCTTCTGTTGCGGTCGACCTTAAGGAGGATTGAGGTGAAGGAGAGAAGGTCCTCGGCAATGTTAAGGATTTCTGATTGTCTAAACCAGATATGTAAAAACTTATCCATGCTTTTGTCACCAGTAGATTGTGTACAAGTCTTTCCATGGTCTTGCACCAAAGTACATTAGTGACATGTTGGTGCCGTATGAACCAACCCGCGGACTCTGAGGAGCGCAGGGACTGGACTCCTGCTGGTGCCCAGAGTCAGGACTAGGCATGGGGAGGCTGCTTTTCAGGTGTATGCCCCAAAAATCTGGAACAGCCTTCCTGAGGATGTACTCATCTCTAGCATTGTTTAAGTCTAAGCTGAATACTTATTTTTTTTAGCTGTGCATACGACTGAGCTTTAGATATTGTGCTTTTATACCATTTGAAAATCTGACATTCAGTCTGAAATGTTTATTTTCATGCAACAATTACCATTGTTATTATTATCATCATCATTATTTTATTATTTCGTTTTTTTTTTTTTGTGTTTTAAAATGTTTGTAAATGTGTATGATTTTATGTTCTTGTGAAGCACTTTGGGTTGCACTGCATGAATTGCGCTTTAACTTTATTGATTGATTGATTATAATAAAGAAGCAAAAACGCCACAAAGCAATGAGCGCCCCAGCCATAGTTTGCGTTGTCTCCATTTCAAACACAACACAAGCTACACTAACAAGATGTAATGATAAGAGATCCATACACTGAGACTTCTTCTCCTAAAACTGTAAAAGAAATGACATCAGACAGAACACCGAGGGTCATGATCTCATAAGGTGTTATTTATACAGACGTAGATGTAGTTCACATTCTACAAGAGTGAGGAATAAGATAATTTATGTAACTTTCCCCAATAGTCAAAAGTTAACACTGAGGTACTAACTTTGACTTTGAAACCACAACATTTTAAATCCATGTAACTATTTCCCAGTCCTCAATACAGTTCTTTCCGTCTTCACTTGACTCATCTGTTGATCACTTTTATGGAATAGTAAAAGTAAAAAGCCAACCAGCTCACAACCTGAAGTGACACAGGGCTCTGTTTTTACAAGTTTACAACATTTATGATTTGTAAACTTGGAAATGAAATGTTGTGTTGATAGAAAAGATGAGTTGTTCTGAGTTTTTTTCTTTTAAAAGATTATTTCTGTTGGTACAAACACACAGTATTGGTTATGGAAATGTAAAAAAGTGAAATAAACCCAGCTTTAACCCATTTAAGCCCAATTTTTTTTAAAATATGAAAATATCCAAATCATGTTTCACTGAGAACCCTTTGACATTATCAATAACTGTTTTGTTTTTTTAATATTGGAAAGTAGGTGAAAATGTGTGTTTTTATGACCGGTCACAATTGTGACCAGTGGGATAATGTGTTGTATGCTCAATCGAAGGTGCTGAAAGTGCAAGAGTTCTGTATTCTGACAGCAATGACTGATCAGGAATTTGGGCTTTACAACACTGATATGAAGACTAAGACCAACATACCAAATATGTTCACATTGTTTAATTAAATGTAACTTGCAACAGCATCACTTTAGTGCAACATGTATGTATTTTTAACTAAAGTGCAACATTTTTTATTGTACTTTGTGCAATATTATTTGTGATCTCAATATCACATTTTAGTGCAACATTCACTAAACATTCCTCTCATGTGATTCAGTCAATGTCCCTATAAAACATATCTAAGTAGATTAGGGGCAGGTACAATATTCTGAACAAAGTGCTTGATTTGTTAGCTATTATGCAAATATTTTTGCATTCTAATCCATCAGACATATTTACAGTTATTACAGCAATAGAACATAAAAATATAATTCTGATTTGAAACCTGCATGTGGATGACATAAACAACAAATGATCTGTAACTTCATCTGTCAGTCCCACTGCTGTGCAATATGTCTACTCAGTTGACCTTTTCCAAGAACTACTGTCCATGGTATTTCTTGAAACACTCAATGTGCAGTGAAGCATTGCATTTCTCACATGCGAAGGTGGTGCGTTTATCACAAAGACAACATCTGAGGAACCGATTCCCTGTGTTGATTGGCCAGTGAGAGTCTTGGTCATATCTTGCCTGATCTTGTACAGAAGCAGCCAGAAGTGATCTCCTTCCATGAGATAGTGGCTTTGTGCCAAACTTTTGCATGAGAGACTGTGCCACTACTCGTGAGAAGGTGAGCAGGTCAATGGTCCCTCCCATAACATCTCTGTAAAAGTAAAAGCTGTTAACAAGTGCACTGTTGAGAGACCATGCAAAGATGGGCCACCACCACTTCTTGGACCTAATCGTGATGCTATATCGTGAGGCTTGTTGGTCATGAAGGTCTACACCTCCCATGTGCTCATTATATAGCTTGATGCATTGTGGTTGTTGGACTTGGTCAAAGGCACGTCGCTCTTTGTTCCATCGTTTGACAACTGTCTCAGAATAGTTCTTCTCCATGTTTGTAGCCATGGTGACAATGTTGTTGTCCTTCCAGCGAACCAGCAGCTTCTCTCCTTGTGTTAGAACTTCAGAGCTTCCTCGGGGTAAGCGCATGAATTCTTTCTTTGGTTTGAAAGGAATGTCAAAGAGACGGTTTTCCCTCATTGTCCCACAGCTCCCATATCCTCTCTTCGTCATCTCATCCAAAAGTGAAAGGGAAGTAAAGAGGTTGTCGTGGTGGAATTTACAACCTTGAGGCACCTCACCTTGCTCTGCAAGACCGAGAACGACACTCGGCCCCTGACCTAATCCAGTCTCTGGGAGGAGTGTGTGGCGTCCTCCATATGGCTCCATATGATGCATGTACCCAGTGGATGAGGCTAGACTCCAGATTTTATACCCAAAACGGATTGGTTTGCCTCTAATAAATTGCTTGCATCCATGGCGGCCATAATATCGTATCATGCTTTCATCCACGGACAGCCATTCTGGATATGGCATGACTTTATAGGACTTTTTGAGCTCGGTGAAGATGGGCCTAACCTTGAAAAATGGATCGTCAGTGATTTTTGTGTTGTCAGCAAAATGTAGAGAGGCCATTATTTCATCAAATCTATTTCGCCGCATTGCATTTGAAATGCTTTCATTATGCACATCACTGTCAAGTGACCAGTGCATACGTCTTCTTGGAACAGTGCTGTAGCCCGCAGCCACAAGGATCCCATAGAATGTAAGGAGCTCGTCCATACTCATATCCAGTTGCTTGCCCTTGGTTTGGGTGGCGTATAGGTTGGACATTTCAAGGGTGATGTCTCTTAGGGTGGGTGGATACATTAGTAGGAAAACCTTCATTGGATCAGGAGAGCTTTGTTTGACACATTCAGCGGCATTAGGGCTGTATACTATGTACTCAGGAATGCTTGCAGCAGCTGGCCTCTTTGATCGTTTGAAGACTCTGTCTTTATTTTTGACCACCTCTAGTTCTGCCCTTGGCCCTTCTGACATGGCCCTATGGTTTCTAAAGGAGGTTGTAGGTTCCTCAGACTGGCCCCTCCGGCGGCTAGAGGATCTCAGAGGTTCTTTAGACTTGTTCTTCTGGTGGCTGGAAAACCTTAATTCTTCAGCAGTCGAGAGTGATGGAGAAGGGGTGGTGGGAAGAGTTTGGCCATCAGCACTGGTGCTGTTGTTTCTGTCTAGATCTTTATGTTTGACAACCTCTAGTTGTGCCCTTTGCCCTTCTGACATGTACCTCTGGCTGCTAAAGGACCTTTGATTTGTAGCCTTGCCTGTCCAACGGCTAGAGGACCTTGAAGGTTCCTCAGATTGGCCCCTCTGGCGGCTAGAGGACCTCAGAGGTTCTTTAGACTTGTTCCTGGAGAACCTTAGCTCTTCAGCAGTTGAGGGTGGAGGAGAAGGGGTGGTGCGGGGAGTTAGGCCATTAGCACTGATGTTGTTGTTTCTGTCTTGAGTTTTCTTTTTGATCATCTGTATTTTTGCCGTTGGTTCATGTGGCTGCCTGGCATGGCTCCTAGAGGCCCCGTCTACTCTGCACTCAACAGTGCCAGGTGGTAAGGGAGGGCTAGTGCAGGGGGGGAGGGGGAGGTCATCAATGTTGTTCTTGTCATCATCTGTTCTCATAAGTTCAGCATATGCATTCAACATCCGGGTAGGCAAATGACCTATCTCGCCTTCATAGTCCATATCTGACCCATCACTGTCACAATCACTGAGGATGGCATCTTTCTCATTTTGAGGTATAACTGCAATGTTGCATGCCTTGTCATGCCCATCACCATAATCCAACATATCCAGAACTTCACTTAAAGTTAATCTAAAAGAAAGAAACAAGTAAAAGTTAGACACAACAAGAATTTTGTATGTATAGAGGTATGTGTGTACATGTTTTCCCATCGGTCACTATTGTGACCGTTCACACATTTACTCATTCTGTGAACACACCAAACCAATTTGAGTTAATTGTAAATGCAAAAGTCATTACTAGACACCCTAAACATCATGTGTACTAAAAAGCTTTGTCCTATATTTATTTTAACATACTTTACAAACCTTTTGTTTGGAAGCTTTCTGGCAGCCATCTTCCTCTCGAGGTGCAACCAGGAAGTAAACAGCTCTGGTCATGTGACAATATTCACAAAAAAATGTGACACTGCACACATTTCATCCAAACATTCTATTATTTCAATATTCAGGGAAAATACATTGAGAAATCACTCAATAACAATTTTAGAGCCTTATAATTAGAAAAAAAATTACGGTCACTATTGTGACCGATGGGATTAAATGGGTTAATATCACAACAAGACCAATTGACCAACAAGAAGATATAATCATAGATATTATTATAGCTCCATGACATAAACCACTCACATATTTGCTGAAGCAGTCCTGCTGTAGTAAGCTGTGCACGAGAGCGCCCTCCATGGCCGGCAGGAGGTGTTGCTGGTGGAAGTTGCAGAGGGTGCTCCAGAGGGGGAAGAGCGCGTCTCCTTTGCCCCGGATGGAGGCGGGAGTGTCGGACAGACTGAGCAGGGGCAGATAGGTCTCCTCCACGCCCCTCATCACGGACACGTACTGCCGCTCGGAGCTCAGCATGCGGCACCAGAGCAGGTACAGCTTACTGCCACCACAAAACACGCCGCGGTCACCAGGAGGTAAACCGTTGTTATGTTGATCTGAGGCTCACAACGTCAAAGCCCAGCATAGTTATAGACACAGGTAATTAGAGATGAAGTAACAAATTTCTCACTAACTAGATGCATTCTGGATTCATTTTTTAGAGTAAATAGGCTTTAAAATGAGGTATAACATGCCATGGCAGCATACTGGTCACTAACAGCAATAATTAAAAAAAACATTCAGGAGCCATTTGTCCATAAGAGGTGGCTGACCAATATCCACACATGTTAGTAAATGTCCATGAATTTCTCAACTGTAATTCAAAGGTATAGAGGAGGATCTTCTTTTTCCAGGTGGATCATCAAGACAATTAATCCTTCTAATTATCATTCTGGTGATATGTGACGTATGGCTGTCATTCATGCTCCAGTGTTTTTGGGATATTCTTTTACACAATGGCGTGCTCCAGTACCTTCTGGTTGGGCCTCCCACAAAGTTTGTAATCAACAGGAAAAGTTTGTCAATCTATTTGGAGAAATCCATTTCAAATCACTGTCAGTAAAAGTTATCTACGTCTACAGTATATTGTTTGTGGAAGAAGTGCAAATCTTTTTGGAAAGTGAGCTTGTGTGAGCGACGCCGACAGTGACTTGCACGTCTCTCGGGCACGTTTAAATAGGTGTTTCCTCTCTGGAGCAGGTAGAGCATGTGCTTTTTTCAAATTGCGGAGAGAGCGGTTCTTTCCTGAACTTTGGGATAATCCTCCTGTATACCTTTAAGTAACAGTGATCCCTGAGCAACACACAACAACACTACAGTGTTTGGTAGAGAGATCTGAGTTCAACAGTGACATCACCTCTGAGGCGTGCTGCCCCCTCGCTCTGTGGTGCCTGTCTCTCGCTCTGCTCGATTCAGCAGCACATGTTGCCGTGGCGACCCAGTGTGGTCCACCACCTCTTTACTGCTGACCTCCACCCCGCGGATCAGCACCCCTCCTCCCCCACTGCTCCAGCCGGGCACAGCCGCCATCCCTGTGGCCACCACCGAGTCCACTGTCCTCCTGCCCAGCCAGGTCATGGGCGAGTGTCTGGCGCCCGCAGGCGCCTCCTGGGGTTTAGGAGAAGCAGCGCGGCGCGGGGCCAGCAACGCCTGCAGGTCGAAGCTCGGGTGACGCCTCCGGACGGGTTTTTGTGGCAGCGGAGACTCTGTGGGCTGAGGTCAGAGAGGCAGAGGACTTCAGTTGTGGAAGAGCAAGACTCAAGAGGTCATTTTAAACTGTAGAGGAGTGGGCCGCTCTGAGAACTTCAGAGTTCTGCAATCTGGGGAGGTTTTGAGGAAGGGAGAGAGAGTGTAAAGGCATGGATATGATCTCAAGGTTGTTGAACCTACTTTTTAACACTGAGACGCTTGTGCAGCCTTTTTAACAAACAAATAGTTATTTGTAGGATCTTGTTTGGTGTGTATGCAGTGCAGATTTTGACAACACTCTCATTTTTTTGTTTCAGTCTATTTAGAATGAAAATATGTGATGGACCTTGGGAACTAACCATTGACTATGTGTTGAGTAGAGGGACGATGCTAACCTGCCAGCTGAATGAACCTAATTGGGAAGTGCTCATGGACAAAGAAAGCTTTGCTCGCATGGGTTTCTATTAACTTACATTGAAAAGTAAACTTCTCAGGCCAGCGAGTAGCGCTAACCGGGACTGACTGGTGCCCCTCCTGATTGTTTGGTTGCGTGTTCATTTCTACCTGTGTCATTTGGCTTCAAAGAGGCTATTGGCTTTAGCTCTAATCAGCTTCTTCCACAATGAGGCGCTAGACATCCACTCGCTCTACAGTCATTTTTTTGACTAATAACAAACAAACAAACCACTCTACTTACGCTCTTTTTGCCCGGGTTAAGCAGATTATGCAGAAATTTCCCTCCTCCACCTCCTCCCACTGGTCCCACTGCTCCCGCCTCCTTCCTGCCTCTGTTCTCGTCTGCGATCTTGAGCGTGGAGCAGTTCTGCGGTCTGAACAGTGAGGCCAAGGACCCCCAGGACTGCATCCCCCCGTCCCCGGCCCACTCCCCCTCGCTGTCCAAGTCAAACACGCTGCTGGTTGAGTGTGTCTTAGTTTTGCCCTGGCTCTGGTTCTGGTTCCGATCGGACTGGAGGAACCGGGGCTTGACTTGCGCGACCGTCCGCTGGTACCGCTCCACGGTCTGGGTCCAGAGGTCAAGCAGCTGCCCCCCGCCAAGCTCCAGAGCCAGGGAGCGGGCATCCTGGAAGCGCGAGGGAGGGATGGGAGGTAGAGAGGTGAGGGGGCAGGTGGAAGCGGGGGAGGAGGAGGATACAGCGTCGCACCATTGGCTGGCCTAGAAGAGACGGAGATAAGACGCCGTCAGAATCATCTGTGCAATAGTTTTTTTTATAATTACTGTCACCTTACATTGTCACTTTGTCCATACCCTCATGCGACACATGTCTACAACTATATACTGTATTTCTTGCACTAGAATATACAGAATGCATGATAAAAAATACTTTCTTCTTTGATATTATAGAGATTTTAGACTTGCATTTTTTTTATACTAAAGTCAGTGATTTTATACTTAATTCTTGCTTCTTTATTATGCTAAAGATGCAGATTTGAATTTAATTTTAGTATAGAGTTATTGTTCTCTTATCTTATAGCTATAGTATAAAACATTTTATATAAAAAAGAAAAACTTTTGGGAGGGATTGATTTTATTTATTTATATATTTATATTTTAATTATTATTTTTTTATTTTTTTATTCCCTGTATTAAAGACACAAATGCTTCAAGTCAAGTTATGGCCTTTTGTTTAGTTTTTGTAGTTTTTATTATTATTTCTGTCTGTAAAAAAAGAAATAAAAGAAATCGAAATATGTCTTGAACAGTTAATTTCGTGAATACGTTCAATAAATATATCTGAAACAAAAGCAAATAACTTTAAAGTGCAAACATAAATTGTACCTTTTTTTTTTAGCAGAGGCCTTTATCCTTACTGCTGTCAGACTGTATAACAAGTCACTTTCAGTCACTGCATTAAGACTGAAAAAACCTGCACTACTATTGACACTGTTTCTGATTGCCACTTTTTAAATTGACACTTTTTATTGAACATAATATCCAGCATTTAACATGTTTGCACATTTCTTTATCTTGAGTGATTCAATCCATGCCAGATGTGACATGTACATTTCTCCTTTGTGAGATCAATTAATTATATCTCTTATCTTATCTTACCTATGTTGACCTATTATCCACTTTAAAAAGAACACGTCACATACAGTCGCTTTAAACACGTGACAACCTTGGGGAGTCCATGAGAAAATGTTGATGAAATACAACCATTTAAAAAAGAAAATAAAGTGAATATAGTTCTGTTCCCGTTGTGTGTGTGCTTCACCTCTGTGAGCGTGGACAGCAGCCTCTGTGTGTTGTCCAGTGTGTTCCAGCAGTCAGACAGACAGTGGCCCATGTCCCTCAGTCGCTCTCGCACCGGGGGCAGTTTGATCTGGACCTGGTTCAGTCCGGTCCAGTCCAGTTCAGACCAGGTCTCCAGGTCGTTGAGCACAGCCAGAGTCTCACTGTGAAGCTCCTGAATCAGTGTAAAACAGGAAACACAAATTTAATCTAATCTGTTTTATATGAATGCTACATCACAGATCAAAGGCATGTTGCTCTGTTTACACTGGAGTAAACAGGACATGGACCAAATGTGAAACTGCACAACCAAATGAACCTAAAGTACAAATACACAATTATTCATTTTGACTTGTCTGGCCTTAGAACTTGTGTAGAAAAGATGTGTAATGTAATTATAAAGAACTCAGGCTGTCAAAATGTGGATCTTCTGGTCTCAAGAACCTCCCATTGGAGTTACTACATAAGTCAAGTTAAGTTATATTGTGTTTATATTTGTCGCCAGTCTTTGTGCTCATCTCCAGATGTGTATGTTTTTTGTGTGTGGTAGCTGTAGTTTTGAGCAGCACCCGGAGGAAACCTACGCACACATGGACAACATGCAAACTCCTCTCGGAAAGGACCTGTTCTGACCGTAATTTGAAAACAGGACCTTCTTGCTGAGAAATGAGTGACAACCATCAAAGTAGGATTTGCTGAAGAAGCAAGGAAACATATCAGGGGATAAGGGCGGACTGAAAAGTTTTATCTGTCAGAGAATAAGAATTATCTTTTGTAATTTCCATTTTTTTTGGTGGATGAATATACATAGTTTTTTGTGGATTGAAAGTTGAGATAATTGTTCCCAGTGGCCTGTAGAGTGTGTAGTGGCTCACGTTGGCCGCCTCCCTGAAGGTCTTGAACTTCTGCTGCTTAAGGGAGAGTCGACTCAGGGACAGAGGAGGTGCTCGGAACTCCTCCAGCTGAGACTGCACCCGGAGGATCTGCTCATCACACTGACCACACACAGTCACACACAGTCACACACAGACACACACAGACACACACAGACACACACAGGACGTCATTCATCCAGATTGTGTCACAACAATATTTAGACAAGTGGTTCTAATGCCTTTCGGTCCCAAAGGGTATAGCAATATGAAATGACTGCACCAATACTATATGTTGAACATCCCAGAAGCTCAAGGGATTGGATGGTTTCAGATTATGTCAGTTATCCTGGTTGGACCTTCAACTTCAACTTCCACCCAGCCATCCATTTTACTTACAAATGACGCCCAGACTTCCCTAACCAAGCACACTTCCTCCAGGACCTCTGAGGGAAGACCGGCTTAGTGACGTCTAATCTGTAGACTGTAGAAAGTGTGGCCTATTCTCTCCATTTAGACAAAAGTCTGACACCACAATAGAGAAGTATAAAGGCTCCAAAAGGTCTTGTAGTTGTCTGGTCACAGATATAGATTCTAAGTCTATCCTTAATGTGTAGCTCAGAATAGACTTTAAAACAGCTCTGCTTGTGTACAAGTCTCTCCATGGCCTCGCACCAAAATATATTAGTGACATGTTAGTCCCATATGAACCAGCCCGGACTCTGAGGAGCACAGGGACTGGACTCCTGTTAGTGCCCAGAGTCAGAACTAAACATGGGGAGGCTGCTTTTCAGATTCATGCTGCTAAAATCTGGAACAGTCTTCCTGAAGATGTGAGACAGGCCTCCTCTCTGACAATGTTTAAAACCAGGTTAAAGACAGTTCTGTTTAGCTGTGCTACAACTGAGGGATTTTATATTTTTATCTTTCTTTTTAATGTTCTGTGATTATTTATGATTTTAATGCTTTCTTATTTTGTTCAGCACTTTGAATTGCCTTGTGTATGAATTGTGCTATATAAATAAACTTGCCTTGCCTTACTGGTCTACCTCCATGGATGACTCTCCTCCTGCAATAGTACTTTCTTTCCTCCTGTGCATTCCACAAGTGATCACAAACCGTGCAGTGATCACACAGCACACTCCATGAAAACTGCTGAAACTGCTATTGTTGTTAACCACATCAGCCACCGCCCGATATGCGCAGCAGAAAACGGCAGCCATATGCACTTTAAAACTTGAAAACTGCACCAATGTGGATATAAAAACATCACTTTGGCACTGACATTGATGTGTAGCTGCCATTTTTTGACTCATGATACTTCGGCAAAAGTGCATCAGGTGACACACACGTTGCTCAGTGGGGTAGTCTTGCACAGTTTTTCGAATGTGGTTTTACTGCAAATGGTAAATATATTCCCCTAGTGACTTTGTGACTTTAAAAGGAGCAGCATTTCGACTCCAAGCTCCTCCCATGTCATACAAGCCTGTGATGATACAACCCGTCTCATTATGTATAGCTGTATAGAAAGTTGTTCTGTGGTGCCTTAAATTGGGTAAATAACCATCACATTCAGACATCTATGAGTGAGGACTAACGTTGTCCAGTTTGTGCACGAGCTCAGCGAGGTGTCCCAGTTTGTCCAGGTCTGTGGCTCTGTGGTTGGACACTTGGACCAGACGGTGCAGAGCGTCATCCACACTGTCGTAGAGTTTAGAGGTCGAGGCCAGGGCAGATCTACAGCACGGATCAGGGCAACAGAGAGGAAGTTATTCGTCAGTATAAAATCACAGAAATGCAAAAGATTCACAAATCAGCAGTAAAAATGTATAAAAAGTCAAGTCTGAAAATGCATGTAGTAAATAATCTTGTTTATTCATGTTAGTTCCATTCTAGCCAAAATGTCCATTTGATTTTGTGGAATCCTGATGTAAAAGATTGGATTCTAAGAGGTGGAAACTAGGATAGGATAGTTGTAGCAATGACATCAGAAGAAGATCCAGAAGATTACTTATTATTGAATTAGACTATTAAAAACTATTAGAACATTCAAAAAATCTCCTTAAAACCACTTAATATACCAATATTTTTTAAATAAATAACCGATTGGGGCACAAACAAATACCTGGACTCTTTGAGGAAAATGTATGCAGTTCAAGAGTCTGCCTAAATTGCCCATAGTTATTATGGAGGGCATAAGTGGTTGTGTTTGAACAATTTTTAAAACCTGTAAAAAATAAAATCTCTATTCACTTTCTATACATATTTGGACAATGCAAATTTCTTCAAAGTGTTTGCTGTTTACTGACTATAAAAGCATTCTCTTTGGAAGCACATTAACTGCAGTTTCTTCCATCATCATCCCCAAAGGTCATCCCCATAGACTGTAAATATGAATTATTCATCCCACCTGCAGTCCGGTGACTTCTGGGCCATTCCCGTCGTGCTATTGGACAGTCCAGCGAGCCAGGCCCCGCCCCTCCGCTGCAGCTCTGTGAGGCGCTGATCGGCCAGAACACTGGACATGAGTTCTCTGTGCTGCGAGATACTCAGCGGAACATCCTGAGGAGTACAAACATGTGACATCACATCTGGATGATCTATAGTTCGAGTTTCATCCTCCAGGAAATGACCAGGGCCTCTTTTATCAAACATGCAGAAGAACAAAATGTTACATAAAACACTTTCTATGTTACAGGTGATGACAGCAAGTTAAATTGTTTTTCATCTTTAAAATAATGCATATTTCTGGCCAAGTATTTTTCAACAATATCATATTTAAAAAGCATAATTAAGAACTTCCTGGAGGAGTTAAACCAATGATGAAGGGCCTCAAGGATTTCAACCAATTAGCTAGCTGCAGAGGTGTGCATAGTTTAAAAAGGTATACCTGTAGGCGTTCACTTTCATTTTGCCATTCATGCAAATAGAAAGAATCCAAATTTGTTTTTGAGCTAGAACTTTTGAATATGACACAGAATGTTCTATGCCAAAACAAAAAGGGAGAACGTTTTTGAAATTTTTTAGTTTGAACATAATTCCTCTCTATATAAAGCAGTACCTGGATGATGTTTGGCATGGGTTGTGTCTCTATGGACTGCAAGGCTTCATCCAGTAACTGCAGCACGCTTTCACATTTGTCTGTCAGACTCTCCAGACTCTGCAAGTCAAAACTCAATGAGCCAACAACACAAACATGCCCACATGCACGCACACGCACACACACATGCACACGCACGCACGCACATGCACACACATGCACCCACACACACATGCACACACACGCGTGCACATCCACACACATATTCACACACACAAAAATGCTTCTTATGATATTTGGGATTGCGTTTAAATACTGCCACACAGATTAACTGTGAATAAATGCATTTTTATTCCATTGGCAGCACTGATTTCATGACCTCTTTGCAAAAGTATGTCTTGAACAGACCTTGGTATGCACAACCTTATTGTCCTCAACAAAATGCTTCCACGGTCACACATGTAAGGTGAGAAGCACGTCTCAAAACCCCATTCTGTTGAGATTTGGCTTTGCATATTTTCTTAATCAGAAACAAGCTCAACTATTCGACCACCAACACACAGCACTCTCCCCACTTCCCTCCACCTCCTCCTGTGTCAACAAATCTATTAAATGTTTGTGGGAGTCACTAACCACCAGAAAAGAACAGATCTTATGTCATCAGTGAGGTTTGCCTAATAACACATTTCCTTTAATAACAAGTGGTTTTAAAATAGTTCAAAGCCTAATAAACAATAACAAAGCTAGAGAGAATCTTAAGTGAAAAGCATTTGTCATGTCATTCCTGCTAACTGGATGACTTTTAGGTTGCCATCTGTATTTGGTTCAAAGATAAAAACAGCTCTCACCAGTCTGAACGAGAGCCAGTCTTTGTGGTCATGGATGAAGTCTCCGTCCAGCTCCTGGAGCAGCTGCTGTCTGTCCACATACTGCTGCAGGACACTTGTTCCTTTCACTATGTGCACCTGCAAACAGAAACCAGAACTATAACTGCAAAACTCGTCAAAATGTTCATTCTTTACAATTGAGTTATAGATTTTATTTTGTAAAATCAGACAATAACATTAACAGAACCACAGCGAGACTCAAACACAGAAATCAGGGAGAAGGATTGGATTGAAAGTTATTTTATCTGCCTCTAGCCAGTTATGACTAAATACATTGTGTTTGTCCAACAGAAAAAGTCTTGTTTAAGTAACATATTCTGATGCATTCAAGGCCCCACACTTCTCCCACAGTTTATCCCACTGCTCTTTACGTTGTTAGTTTCTTTCATATGTGACACAATGTTAATATTGTATAGGCAACAGGCGTTATGGCTCAAATGAAAGCGGATCTGCTGCTCTGAGCTGCATACGTCCGGAAATGCAAATTCATACTGGATTTGTCAATGCGGAAATAAGCAGACGTTTTTGTTTGATTCAAGAAAGTACAATTGATAGAGAGGCGCGATATTATACGTTTACTTCGCGAGGAAAAATGTACACATATACAACCGCACATATCCACTCGCGCACATACACACGCATAAACACACACACACATAGACACAGTATCAAACACATGAATGGATCGCTCTGCTCTCATCAGCAGTTTCTATGTTTGACATGTGTTTGGGGCTGGAGTCAGGCCTCACAGTTTGAAAGAGTTCCCACCAAAATATAATTATGGTCAATGCAGCTGCAGCTTTCATTTCAACTCAGATTCAGTGAAATGTAATTTATAACTCTGAGCTCTGTTTATGCTTTGTAATTAACATGTGGACAATGTGAAGTTATGGCAGCTCTTTAAGTAGAAAACTGTTAAACACGACAGAACCCACTGCTTTGATTTTCCCATATTCTGGTCGTGTTGTTCAAATCAATATGCCTGTGTTGACAACGAGGGCGTGGATTTCTGCTTCCTGATTTATGCCACGTTTTGAGGACCTTTTAACCATTGAAAAAAATTTAAGCTTTCCGTCTAATCTGACAGAGCTTGAGTTGTGTAGTAAAGATTATATAAGATAAGAGGTCCTTCATTCACCCACAGTGGGGAAATTTCAATGTTGCAGCGCACATGCAGGACAGTAGTAAGAGCCCACAGGGAGCACACAAAATGTACACTATAAGTCGCTGCTATGTTTATTAACTAGCAGTAAATGCGTCAATATCAGTCTATCAGTGAAGACTAACAGGCAAAACTTTCGGTCTTTAGATGAGCAAAGCTTGTAGAGCCATGACCCAATGATTTTATGCTGTGATTGAAGCAGAAAGGGGCTGCTTCAAGTCTTCAAAAAAAAACCTTATGCTTCTGGTTGTAAACATGACAACTGTTACAGAAGTTCAAGTTGTATCTACGTGTGTAAATGTGTGAGTGTGTGTGTGTGGGTGTGCGAGTGTATATGTGCGGTTGTATATGTGTGAGTGTGTGCACGTGTGGGAGTGTGCGTTCAACTCTAAGTCCATAGCCATATGTTGCTCATCAAACAACACACTGCCATTTACCTTTGTATATTGAGGTTCATACAAAAGGTTTATACAAAGGGGAAACGTCCAGTCAGATCTGAGGCTGATGGCTTATGGAGAGAACATTGGCTGATTTGATGAGGACAGAGGAAAAGCTTATGCAGTACTATTCTAGCGCTGAACAACAATATAATCACAGTGCTTTTGGTTTTGCTCCATTCTTCCTGGGATCAATCTAAAGCCATACGACCGGGCATACTAGATCCAACCATAGAATGTAAATATTAAAACTAATATGCCATCACTTTTGCCGTCTAAGGGGCTTTTTTTAAATGGCCGTGGGGCACAAAATTGTGAGTTTGCCCAATGGGAATACACCTTGAATGTAACTAGAAACTTACCTCTTAAGTAGCCAATCATGCTAACACGCGTTTGAATGGACATGTGGTTAAGTGTCATGGTTCTTTTGGCACCCCCTCCATGCTAATATGGTTTTCTTTTGTCACTGCTTATTTTGTATATCCTGTAATAGTCGCACAAATGTTCCCATAGGGGGAACATAGGCCTGTCTGAAAAGTTTATTCCAAAAATTTAGATTGAATGTGTCATTGTGCTGTTAACTCATTTATATCAAACTCACCTCAGTTCGCTCCAGACTCAGAGAAATCCCTTCTTGCTGCTCGTCCACCAGGACCAGGACCGAGCCGAGACCTTCAGGGACCCACCGCTGTTAAAGACACACACATCCACTTTCACCTCTGATTTGCAAATGAGCCACAGGAGAAAGCATTTATCTGGTTTGTCCTCAGTCACCTGGAAGAGTTTAAGAGCAGAGCAGAGGCGGGAGGAGGGGGGGCTGTTTCTGCTGTCTATGAGGAGCGTGAGACCCTTTTCTCTGGCCGCCAGGCTGATGGAGGAAGCACAGTTAACCACAGCAATAAAAGAAAGCTGATTAGAATTACCGGATTAAGGACAATAGCAATGAGTCATTAAGTTTGACAAAAGAAGTTGAATTAGATTAATCCTTATTCAATTATTTAATACAAAAATAATGTGTGAAATTGTTTAAGAATGGATAGGGAAAGATGCATGTTTTCCTGCATTGCCGTGTATGACAGGTTAGACTGCACTTTTCACAAGACGCAGCAGTATTTTGTAGATTTTACAAATTGTATCCAAGTTTCACCATCTACTAAAGATATATATTTTTACTTCCCTGTTGGAATTGAAGATTAGACACTAGGGATGCCATGAAGCAATCTCATAAAATAGTCCACTTAAATTGTGTACATTTTGCCAAACGTTAGGATGAGTTCTGTCTATCCCCTCTGTAATGTGATCAGTTCTAGAATTGTAGAACTGTCTTCCTGTAAATTTCAACAAGCGCATTTCCATTTTTCCTCACTGAATTGGGAGGTCATGACACTAAACTCTGTCAAAATTAGAAAATCGTAAAACCTGCTATATTACTTAATTTACTTGAAATTAAATTACCATTTCACCATTGACAGATTTCTTGAAATTAGTAACTTGACTCTTAATAATTGAATGATTGTTGTTCTATTTCCTTAATTCCAGGCCTCGTTGGCAATATCTTGTTCACCAGTTTACGGTAATAATGTTTTGTTTTATTATTTTTAATTTTTTTTACAAATATTTCTTTCATTTTTGGCACTGGCAGTATATATTGATGGTGGTTCCATCCATGTTCCATGTTAGAACACATAATACACCATCTGTAATAGTAACACCTTTAAAACAGGTTTAATATAGGTTTAAATTCTGCCATTTGCTGGTGTCAAAAGGAAAGTCGCCACATTACAAGCAGAATATGGAACATGTTTGAAACTGAAGAAACAGAACGACAGGATAGAATCAGGATGTTCTTTATCGGATTAGTATGGGCGTGCTGGGTCAGTGGCTTGGTTTGTGAGTGGGTCTAAAGCATGGTTAAGAATCAGTGTGTACTATGAAGGATCAATGACACCTGGTGATGCGGTGATAGCAGACTAAAACTCGGCACAGGTCCTCCTCAGTGAAAGCCTCTTCTGAAGCATCTGTGTCTGAGAAAACCAGTGCACGTCCCAGTCTGTCCACGGTGCCTGGTCCAGAGACAGAAAAGATTGTTGTAAAATATTTGTGTTCATTTTATCTCTTCAATGTGATCTTGAAAGAGAATACAAATCTGAAATACCACACAAAGAAGTTAAGTTAAATGATACATGATGTTTTTTTTTTTTATAAACTTGGTACAGTAGGACTTGCATACGAATTACTGTACCCAGCATGTGGAATCACCCAGAATTCTGTTTGGAATGCTCTTACACCTGATGAACTAAGGATCTCTTATAACACTTTCAAGCTATTTTGGTTAAAGCTAAACTCATCATTACAACAGCATTCCAAAGTCAGTGATTTTCCACTTGATGTTTTGGTTATCTGAAGGTCAACGCTAACTATTGGCGCCTTCGCAGATGCTAAGAGGAGTGTCTATGTTTTGTCTTATATAAAATCACATGCACGCACACATGCAAATCTTTGGCTGGTGGTGACCCAATCCCACACATCCACATTTTTTGTCATTTTCTTCAGTACCTGTGATCTTGAGTTTCCCGGACTGCAGCAGCTCTGGCTCCAGCTTCTGCAGTGACGGCGCCTCTGCAGACGTCACACCGGTCACTTGTTCTGTGTCGGATTCTGTGCAGTGGTTCGATAAGGACACTTCAGGTTGGTGGCCGTTACACAACTCTTTTGCCCCTACATTTATGGACAGAAACATTGAAATGTCATTTTAAAATAAGTACAGTGTTTGAAACATTGTGTTGTTACTCAGGCAAAATATGACTATAATCAGAATCAGAATCCTTTGATTGCCATGTGAGTAACAGGAAACAAACTAGGAAATTGCTTTGGCTCTCATAAGAATGACGAAGCTGGAAAAGATATGTGATCAATATTTGACTTTTCAAGAAATATTCATAACATGGTGGTATGTTTTCATGAGGCATAGTTCATGAACGTTTGATGTGTTGGATGCTCATCTACTTGCCTTGGATAAAACATAAGATTTAGTTTTAGATATTAGATGCATTAGATTTATGGTAGAACCAAAGCTTTAACCACCACAAATTAAGCACATTGACCAACGACTCTTGTATGAAATGTGCTATACACACAAATGGTATTTTTCTAAAGATAGTTTCCAAGAGCGAGAGAGTCAAAACATGCAAAAACCAGAGGAAACAGGAGCCATTACCTTCAGTGTTAGCTTCAGTGGTGTTGGTGACAGTGGTCATAGCCTCTGCTTCCTCTGCAGCTTTTTTCTGTTCTGTATTGTTTTTGTCACTGACATTGGAGCGAGCAGTGGCTCTACCCTGAGCTCTGACTTTTTGTCCACGACCAGCAGAGCGAGCGCGAGCCTTAGCCCCTCTGCCTCGTCTCTTCCTCCTACAAACACACGCTGTTAAAAGATTCTATGCCACAAATCTGCAAAATCACTCATACTCATCACTCATACTAGTTAAAGTGAGTAAAGTGTCTTGGTAAGGACACCACAACGGTTTTAAACTCTAGAGCCTCAACTGTCGCACTGTGGCACCTGGTATTCCCAGTCATCTCCCATCACAGTACCAACCATACACTGCACTGCTTAGCATGTTCGAGCTTTGAGAAGCATGCATCGCAAAGTTTTTCAATCAACACCAAAAAGAAGAAATGTACACTTGTCTAAGTTACAAGTGACTCAATGTAAGAATTGAGGTCTATTCTAGCAGTAAAAACGTTTGTGATTGAAAAGATATATTCCAAAGGCTTGGTACTGTTTACCTACATGCGAGCATTCAAGGAAAAGCAATAACTTGGAGATAAGCAAGTGGTATGCAATCCTCTTGCAATGTTAGAGTTTCTCATAGTAACCAGCCTCTTCTTCCGCTGTCAGGACACTTGGGCGTAATGTGTGCTTTCTTACAAGTGTGTGAGCAAATAAAAAGCGCTGTTGGGTGAATACCTTGGCGCTCTGAATCCTGCCGCCTTGACCTCCTTCCCTCGCGGAGACACTCTGTCCCCTGTTTTCCCCCCCTCCTCCTCTTGGTCCATAACTTTTACTTCACCCGAGCTCAAAACAGGCTGCGTACATACACCTCCTTTGGCGTTTTCACTATTGCACTCTGGACTTGAAGCTTGGATGTATTGCGTTGGAAATCGTAATTCTGTTGGCGTAGCTTCACTGTCTCCGCTCAAGGCTTTGTCTGCATCTTCAAAAACCGAATCCGACTGATCCGATTGCATTTCGATGCCAATAGCTGCAACTTCTGTAATTGCGCCTTCCAAATTCGCGCTACCGTTGCTGTCCCGTTCTTTCCCAACGCCTGGTTTTCTTTCACGAAAAACCCCATCAAAGTTAAGCACGTCCAAAGTTTCAGAATTCTTGCTTGTTCGATCGCTTTCGTCGGAATCTTGCACCGAAGACGAATACGTTTTGCTTTTCTGTTCGACGGGACGCAGCGGGAGTCTTGGAGCGATGTTTTCTTTTGACGTAGAAGCATCTTTACTCCTTCGAAAACTTCCAGTAGTGCGAAAACTTCCGGATCCATACACTTTGCCTTTCTTCAGCTTGATCGCTTTGCCTCTACGGACCAGTGGTAGAGTTTTGGTCTTGCAGATTGCGTGCATTTCCAGGTAGCGTTGCCGGTTGTCCACCCCACCGTCTGGTCCCAATCTGGGCTCGAGAAGCTCCACGTAGTCTCCATCCAGAAGAGGGGGTTGTGTTGTCCTTCCCAGCCCATCTTCACTGCGTTGTCTGCGGAGATCCAAGGCTGGGAAGAGAGGAAAATAAAGATTTATCATCTTTTAACTTTGTTGGAACTATGATATATACTGTATCACAATTTTTTATTATTTTTCCTCTTTTTTGCATTGATAAAAAAACAATGAGATTAAAGAGTATCTCTATGTCAAGATAAAATTATTTCAAGTGCTTTCAATACATTTGATAACATGTTTTTTTTTCCTGGTTGATATTGTTATGTTTGAGGTTTTTTGCATATATCTTTTGAAATAATGTAATGACATTTTTTTTACCAAATCGGCAAAATAATTAATAAATGTTAATAAATTGAACAAAACGTGTCAAAAACTTACAAGCTACTTACAAACTTACTAAAAATACAAGCAATGTCCTTAAGTTGTTTGAAATCATCTACATTTACATACGATATGTGTAGTACTGTAGGTCAGAATTCAAATTTCATCCTCAAAACAATTCCATTCATTTTGGCAATGTAAAAAACATCACCTCTCGTTGGATCATCTGCCTCGTCTTCATCCCAGGACCAGGACTCCCCTTCGCTCGGCAGGGAGGCCTCGTGGTCGGACATGAGCTCAGCCGTGGGGTCGTGGATGAATTTGGGGTAAACCACCTCTTTCCAAGGCAAACGTGCAACGCCATCACAAGTGCTGACCAGGCATGTGTCCAGACCACCTCCAACTGGCAGGAAATATAACACACACTCAATGAGAAATGGTTGACAAATTATACTGTATTGAGTTCTGAAGAGGACAACCTCGAGATCCGTCTGAAAATCTGTGCAAAGACCTGAAAGCTGCTGTTCAGAAGATCTTGTGTAATCAGACAGAACTTGTGCTGTTTTGTAGAGATGAATGGGCAAAACCTTAATTTGACAAGTCATAGCCCAAAAGACTTCCAGCTGTGATTCCAGCAAAGGGAGATGCACAATTTAATAACTTATGGACTTGCATAAGTATTCATACAGTATATTTGCTTTCTCTTCACAATTGTCGTCTGTTGCTTTATTGTGGTTTTCTTTGTCATGTTTGTGGTTGTAAACAAGACAAAATGTAGAAAACAAAAAATATTGTATCAATAATTTCTCAAGCCACTATTATTAAGACACTGTATTTAGTTTAGGTTCTGAATGCCAAGTTATTTTATTGTATATAATATATCTTGCACAAAAGAGACTATATTTTAACCTTCCTGTTGAGTGATGCCAAACATGACATTGTGAGATTTAGTTTATCTTACCTTATCTTATACAGTCTACATTTATGAACTTTCTGACACTTGATTATGTACTTTCCACATTATAATACTAGTTACGCGAAAATGCACCGTATTGCAAGAATCAACAAGGCATATTTTACATGTAATAATTGAAATCAGCTGCACATAGGTTCACGCCGCTTCAGCAGACACAAAATCTGCAGTTATTCTTGGTTTAATGACAGAACCGCTCTTCACACCTACACATTACCTGCGTGTGTTTGTTGCCTCATAAACTTGAACATCTGTTTCTCTCTCAACTGTTTTATTCAAAAGTTTGGCCTTTCACATCCTGAGGCGAGTCTATTGAGAGGATTCCCTCTTATTTATGGACTGTTTGACAACCGGTTGCTATGGAAATGATGTGAAAGGGATCAAAACAAAGCTATTTTTCCCCATTTTTCCCATTGTGTGTGGGAAATCTGGAACTCCACTGTATAAATATCATGAAGTGATATTTTCTTCACAGATTGAATTACAGGAAAAAAGGTTACAGGGCAGATCTAGAGAATGGCGAGCCAGAAGTAGATTTTGTAATTAAGTGTTGTTAAATGATACCCTCGCTGTCACCCTCGCAGTGTGAAGGAGGTCTTTCCGTAGGTCTTTCCTTCCTGCTGCTGTCAGACTGTACAATGAGAACTGCTGAGCCTGTACATGTCATTCATCTGTAAATATTCAATCCTTTAATCATGTGCAATACTGCAGTTTCCGAATGTCCACTGAATGTCACTTTATTTATTTGTTATCCTGCCCTAAACTGTATGTATATACTGTAACTGTCTGCTATATATAGAGATATATAAAAAAAAAAAAAAAAATTATAAAGCATTTACAAAGCCTCTATTGTATATTTTGTGTGCTCCCTGTGTGCTCTTACTTCTTTCCTAAATGTGCGCTGCAACATTGAAATTTCCCCACTCACATATCTTATCTTATCTTAAATAACGCTAAAAAAGCTCGACAGAACAGAAAGTATAAACTCACCTTCCCGCTTGTACCCGCGCTCCTTGTTGATGCTGTGTAGCCATTCTGTGGTGAAAACCAGTGGATGTTGCGACTCGGGCACCAGGATCTCCTGCACGGTGCGGCCCCCAGGAGCCAGGCACTTCAGGGCTAAACGGGGGCAGCGTGTGGAGAAGGGCACCACCTGCAGGTAGAAGTCGTTACTGCGCAGGAGCCTCCAGTCCAGAGTGGAGAGCTGCACCACCACCTTCTCGCCCAGACACAGAGGCCATCCGGAGTGCACGAACAGGCAGCCGTTGTACTGAGACTGCAACACAGACAAGACTATATCAACACAAGATTACCATCCTTTGCTAAAATCGTTAAAAAAAGTTGTAAATATTTGCAAATTCATGAAAAAACGCCTTTATCATCTGGATGGCACCAACATCATATGAATTCTTATATTGTCTTTCGAGAGATTAACTTGGTAGATCCAGATGCAAATGGCTGTATGTCTTATCAGGAAGGTCAGCAATTTGACAGAAAGCAATGTTATACAGTGCATCGTTACCAGAAAAAAACAAAAACAAAACATGAGACTTCATATTTAAACTCTAAAATCCAAAAGAACCCATCCATGACCCCAGTCCCACCTTGTTAAGCCAAGGCTCAGACTGCTTTCTCTTCTTTCATACTTTGAGTATTAGAGTCATGCTGTTTGCCAGATCGAATGCCTCCACATCACGTCCTCCTCTCCTCTCACTCACGGGACATGATCCAATTAGACCGGACGGTTACAACATTTCTCACCCTTCCTCCCACTCACACAGACGTACGCAGAGTCCAGACCGCAGTTCATGGCATCTGCTGTTTCAAAAGGATCATAATTATTGGCTAAATGGAATAATGCAATAAGAAGTTTTGTTTTGATTGTTCATTGTGCTCATTCAGCTTTCAGAAAGAACATTTACAAAACAGCTGTGTCAAACTAGTAGAGTCTAGTGTTACAGAAACTATAGACTATATTCATTGGTCAAGTCAACTGGACTCGGCTCATTTCAGAAGCAAATGCAACAGGCCTCATGAATCCATAGATCTGTGTCAAGAAGAGTGACCGTTAAGTGACCACTGCATGCTGCTGAGTGGGTAGAGCCTCACAGTAAGACAATCGCGGTTGCTCTCTGAGTGTTCGGATGGGCTTCCTCCAGGTGTTCCAGATTCACCACCCAAAACGCCAAGCTGAGCATTTTTCACTCGTGGGACTCATTTATATCGTTTGTTTTTTGTTTGTTTTTTTTAAACAATGTATAAAAGACTTTGTTGTGTGTACATAAAACCAAAAATAATCGTATCCCCCCTTGCTTTCAGTTATGGGTCACTGATATGTTATCCATCATACAAATGGAAAAACTCCGCACTAGTCACATGGACATATTTCTCCGTTCTTGGAACCCATTTTTGGCTCATTTTGAAAAAGTAAAAATAAACTAATTGTGTTCCTGTATGAACAACCTTTTCTCCTACCACTGTACCAAATATGACTGTAAAGAATGACAATAGCTGCATCGGAGCCCTGTTTGTTTTTATTTTGAAAATGTAAATAAAATATTTAAAAAAAAATAATAATAATAATCTTATCAATATTTACAATGCTATGTTTCCTATTTCTACAATTATTGCAAATAATTAACTTGATAATCTATAATCTATTATTATTAGTTACAGTTAGACACCATTATAGATGCCATAGCATTACACAATAATGACACATTTCATTTTGAACCACTTTAAGGAGTATAGCTCTCTGAAAATGTGTACCCTGAAAAGTTTACCCTGGACTAGATCAAAGACATTCAGCTGTTTGTAAATGTTATTATAGTCAGGATTGCAACAAATGTAACACTTCTACATATTGTTCTATGATCCAATCCGCCTCATGTAAAAATACAGTCTTGCTTTTTCCTCTTCTCCTTTTCTAAATTTAACCTCATGTCGGATGTTTGGCCTTAAACTTGTGAGTCAGTCTTGTGAGTGTGAATACAGCCCAGTGTTCTCTGCACCCTCCTCTTTCTCAATCACTGCACTATTCTGCTCCACGGAGTCCGAGCTGCTGAAGTAACCCACAAACAGCACTGGGCTCTACAAATGTGGCAAAGAATTTCTATAATGATCTCTGTAAAAGTCTTTATGTTCGAGGTTTGGGATTGGGATATTTATAATAATGCATTGGTTTCATCGAGGGATTTTTGGACACTCAAGTGTAGCCCTGGGGTATACTTCCAATCTGAGCCGGCCCATCGCGCATCATGCACACACCACACTCATACTTGGTAATGTGGCTGAAATGTCTTGCCAACAGCAACTGGTGTTTCTACAGGTCTCCCATCAGAGCACTGACCAGGCCTAGCCCTGCTTAGCTTCTGAGATCTGCCAGGATTTCACATGCAGGGATAAAATAAGAAAAGAAGCAATATGTAAGTCATCAACGTTAATAAACTGTGCTGTTATCGCAGTTCTCCCGAGACATTCTAATTTCCCTTTTATCAATCAGAAAGTCCGTGGTCTGGGTTGCCGCGTCAAGCTAATGTCACTGGTAAACTAACATGTGGCCACTGTGCTAAAACAGGTCTCGTTATGAAAAAGGTGTTGGTTATAGATTTGTTGTTGACAAAAATCTTGTTTATTCAGATATTATGGTCCCAGGTGGAGTTGTCTGCATATCTGGCAACCTGAGAAGTTGCAGTCCCACTTTTGGCCAGATTTTTACATACGGCTCCTTTAACATTCTGAACCATTTTAGTCATTTTGGGGGTTAGAATCAATGTTCTAATTCCACAGTTCTTTGGACTAGTGCTCTTGAAAGGAAAGATCTCTTGTCTTGTGCTAATTGAATACATAATTATCAAGTATAATTTGGTGATTTTATCTTATTGCCAAGATACTTTTTTTCTTCAATCTAGTGTCTTGCAATTAATGGAATATCTTAACCATAGCCTAGAAATATGTTTAGTATAATTGACCAACAGGATATACTACTTGAATCAGGCCCAATGTACTTGTGTTTGAGTGGGTACGTTCATACTGTGAGGTGAGAGTCCTATACACTGCAAACATGATAAGGTATTAAGGATTAAGGCTTGACCAAGGCCAGTTCATTTTGCAAGGGAGAAAAGTCTTGAATTTTCTAGTTTATTTTAAAAACAAAACCTTTGTTGCTTGTCTCACTGGCAAAACTTGTTTTATGAGTTGTTTGTTGTCACTTTTTGCAGTGTAACCACTCCACCCTCATGGCACAAATGTATGAAAATCCTTGCAGACGCAGTAAAGTAAATCCCAGTGCATGTACGAGTGTCTTATTTCCCCCCGCTGCAGCACAAACATATGGAAGGCATTAGAATCATGACTCACGCTCCGACTCCCCAACCCAGCGACAATGAAAACACACAGACACAACGTCCAGGAAAGTCTACACACAAGAACTTTCCCTTCCTCAGTTTGTGCCCAGTTAACCAAGAGTTGAAGAACCCCGGACAGACTGTCTCAAAGCAGACGCAGAGTTATGGATTTCAAAGATATGTTTGTATTGGAAGCCTGGTTTTATTTTGCAAAAGGGAAAATGATCAGAAACCTCATTGTTACGCTTGTCAGAAAAAAGTCTTGCTTCAGCTTTTTGTGTACACTGCATTTAGTGAAACTAGATATGCATTCTATCTTGCGTCAACTTCTCTATGGAGCAGCATCAGTCTAAAGCAGGGGTGTGGAAACTTTTTAGTGCCAGGATCACTTTTGTTCTCCTAAATTGTCCAGGAGCCAAAAACATGGATTTCTCTGAATAAGTTCTATGCAACTGCAAACTTTCATCTATTCATCCACTTTATTCCTTGCCAGGTCACATAGGAAACAGTCACACACCAAGAGGGAGTCCCGAGGGAGTCCCGAGGGGTTCCTGCAGGCCGGCGGACAGGCCAGGGACAGATATCCCTCCACAGTGTCCTGGGTCTTTCCGAGGTCTCCTCTCGGTGGCAACGTCCAGGAAGAATACAAAACAGATGCTTGAGCCACATGAGCTGGCTTCTCTCAACTTGGAGAGGAGGAGCAGCTCTATCCCAAGCTCCTCTCGTTTGACATAATCACACATTTTCAGACCTTTTCTTTATCCATTACATCATATTTGTATGTATATTTAAATGTCCACGGAATGTCCTTATCTACTTATTATCCTGTCATTTCTATAAAAGTTTGCACTAAATATATATACTGTACATATACAGATATAGATAGGTTATATTAATATCGAAGCATTTACAGCTAGCTGAGAAACATAGCAGCTACTGTATACTACTGTCCTGTGTGCGCGCTGCAACATTGAACTTTCCCCACTGTGGGACGGAAAAAGATTCTCTTATTCTTAAAGGTACTCCGTGTAGTTTTTACTCCCATCTAGCGTTGAGATCATAAATTGTAATGTATGGTACTACGGTAGCTTTGCAGGACAATATGTTGCCTATGACAACAATTCAGGAGGTAAATAATCTTAATTTAATGGTCTCATTTGTTATAGGTTAACATGTTTTTTAATTTGTACTAACTGTAAAAATAGAGTTCCTTTAAAGCTGGGGTACCTAACTTTCAAACCAGTAACAATCAATGTAATGTATTCCTTCAGGACAACCTACAATTACATTATTCACAAAGCAGAGGTGCTTGTACCAGACCGTAACTTAAAAGTTCATTTCTCACTTTAGCTCCATCTCTCAAAACAGTGGCAGTATATCAACAATTTTCACGTCAATTATTTCTGGAAAAAAAGGTTATTGAGCTTCAACAATCTCACATTCTAATTCATGAGCGGCCAAAGTAAATATTCTCAAGATCATGTTTAAGTTCCAAAATGAACAGAAATAACACATGCTAATCTTTCGTCAAATAAACCTCCTCTGAACAAGACTCGTGTTTTTTCATTAGTGGAGGGACATTTCCATTTTGCAGTGAATCTCCGCGGTGCACATTCTGGAGGCAGGAAACCACCTCTTTTGTCTGTGGGTCACGGTGGCTGTGGAATCTCACATTTCAGCCTCCACTTTCACTGCGCCGGGTCCCAGACAGACGGGGCCCTCCGCAGTCAGGGCTCAGGTCAAGACTGTGTCAAAACCACCGACGTGTGAACTCCACGGAGCATCAGGACTTTGTTTGACTTCCCTCCTGGCCACAAAAGCCACTCTCGGCAAAGTGGGAAATGGAACGACTCATTACAATTTGACAAAGTAGACAATTTGGTTGATTTATGTTTCAAAACAAAATATAGTTTTGAAAAGAACATTGGAAGTATATGTAGCATGATTTGTATGATCTTTTACAGTGTGACTTTGGAGGTTTGTAATAATGTCTGTTGAGAATAAAGGAGCACAATGAGTTGCCTGTGGCCATCTACTGGTGACACTGGTAATTACAACGCCCTATGACATCCATTTAAAACACTTTGGAACATGTTCAACGGAAACACACAGTTCTATTAAACATCTAAAGATTCAGAAATGCCCAATGTTTTGGAAAGAATAAGAACAATAAGACATGGGCATAGCATTCCCACAGTGGTGGTAAACTACTACTGTAGCCACAGCTGCCCTGGGCTGTCTGTGGCAGGGAAGTGAGGCTGTTAACTTACATATTGGCCCAGAATATGCAGAAAACAGCTTTGGCAAAACAGTTCAGGCAGATTCAGCCCAGAGTTTAGAAGTTAAAACACAAGAAACTTGAGATCTAATGTTAATGAGCAAATAATATCATGTCTTCAAATCATATTATTTTCACCATAGATCATTTCTAGGAGGAGTCTGGGGCCGCATATCTAGGAAAAGCAACATTTAAGTTTCTTTGAAAAATTTATTGAATATGATTAGTACAATTGTCAAAACAGATAAGTGCCATTAGATAAATATTTGGAAGGCATCCAATTTTCCCTTTGCAAAGTAGTTTTTTGAAAAGCCAGCTCTATATTAGATACAGATAATATTTCTCCCCTTTTTAAGCAACTTCTTTCAAAGTTACTGCCAACAACAAAACATGTTGAAGAATGCAGCTAAAGTAATACGACTTTTAAACAAATTTTCAAAACAGAGATAAATGTTTTTGCAAATTCTCGTCCCTTCAACAAATGGTCCTCAGTGAAAAAAGTGAAAAGAGTAATTTTGCTGCACATGTAAGAGGCCTGACTTTTTCTCGTTTATAAACTGCAGAAGTTGGCGATGCATTTTTCCTAATAATAAAATCCTTTTAACATCTGCACTGAGGCGACCGATTTCCTCAGTCACTGGTTTTGGATCGGAGAGTTTTTCGGCGTCTGTTCTTGATCAAACTTACACAGGCGTGCTGCTGGAGCTTGTTTAAAAGATGTTTGGCTGGAACAAAGTAATCCAAGAGGTACCGCAGGCTGTCGTGTTGGTAGGTGGATTCCAGAACAGAAAATACCTGAAAAAGAAGAAGAACTGGTGAAATTAGAGCTGTAGAAATTAAACTAAATTACACAAACTACTCCAAAAATTGTTATAATTATCACTTGTGGTGGGAATTATTGGAAAGTTGATATTTGGTTTTTATTTTTTTATTTTTGGTGCATGTTCCGCTGTCTATTATGTACATTAATTTACAGTATATAACAATGGGATAATAGTTTAATTTTTAACTTTTTTTTTACTTTCTACTCCTGCTCTTTTTTCATTGAGTGCATTACTGTTACTGAAAGATAACAATGGACAATCAAAACAAGTTGGTGTTATTATAAATCCCATGAGACTAGCCCTCCACTACTTGTATTTTCCAAACTAATTATTAAGAAAGAATTTTCCCGTGGACAAAAAGACGCTTTTGTTTATAAACTGGCAGAGATCTTTGTGAGTGTGTCCAATGGGTTTTGCAATCGTTTCCCAAGACTGGAAACATGGACACAGAACAGGCAGACCATAATAATCATTCACACACGATCAGAGGAAGAATAGGTCGTGCTTTTAAGGACACAACTTTAGAGCCAGCGATACATACATGGTACAGGCATTTTGGCACGACCAAACCTCTTTTATTAATATTTTCAAAATAGAGATTTTATACTTGTAATTGATGCTAGAGTTAGAGATTTTGTTTTATTTTAGTTAGTATAGCTATTGTTCACTTAACACTTAACTTAACTCACTGCGTGCTCTTCTTTCCTACTGTTCTATAACTTGTGATGCAACACTGAAATATCCCCACTGTGGGACAAAAAAAGGATCTCTTCATCTTAATCTTAATCAAAATATACAACAAAACAATCTCCTCCAATACTCTTCGTTGTCCTATACAAGCCACCGCAGTCATGTCACAGTTTTATTGATCATTTTACCGAGTTGCTTTCAGTTGTATGCACAGATTTTGATAGTTTGGTTATTACAGGTGATTTTAATATTCATGTGGATAATGTTGATGACAGAAATGCAAATGAGCTGAGTTCTGTACTTGAATCCTTTGATCTCACTCAGCACGTAAGTGGCCCCACCCACAGCAGAGGGCACACTCTAGATCTGTTAGTTACAAAGGGGGTGATTATTTCAAATGTAAACGTGGTCGATGTTGCTCTTTCGGATCATTTCTGTGTTTTTTTTGACATGTGTTTCACTAACAAACCACCAGTGGACTCTGCAACTGTTCGAAGAAGGCGCATAAATGAAAATACGAGTGAACTATTTATGGAAATGATAAACTTTGAGAATGCATCGTATTCTACTGTAGATGAACTGTTTAACTCTGTCACCTCTAGTGTTTTGAATGTTCTGGATACCGTTGCCCCTGTGAAGGTTAAAATAGTGAAAAATAAGCAGAAGGCGCCGTGGGCTAAAGCAGACTCGGTCAGGGCACAAAAGAGAAAGTGCCGGAGGGCCGAGCGGAAGTGGCGCAAGTCCAACCTCCAGGTAGATTACGAGATCTTCAAAGATAAGTTTGCGAGTTTAACCGGGTGCTACGTAGTACGAGAGAAAGGTATTTTTCTGAAATGATTGAAGGCTGCAGCAACAATCTGCGTGTTCTGTTTTCAACAGTTAATAGATTAACAAACCCCCCTGTTCAAATGCCATTAGAGCTTACTTCCAAACGTAAATGCAATGAGTTTGCTAATTTTTTCAATGACAAGGTTCAAGGCATCAAAAGCGCCATTGTCTCCAATCCACAGATAACCATCCAACAACCAGAAAGGCTCTCTGAGCTAACTCACTTTGCACCTGTAAATGATAAAACTGTCCAAGAGATAATCTCCAGTTTGAGCTCCTCCACATGCAGCCTGGATGTACTACCCACTAGATTTCTGAAGTCTGTTCTGAGCAGTCTGTTACCTTCACTCACACAGATAGTAAACATGTCCCTTCATTCTGGAATATTCCCAAAGGCCCTGAAAACTGCAGTCATCAGGCCCCTGCTAAAAAAGAGCAGTCTGGATGCCACTGTACTTAACAACTATCGTCCCATCTCAAATCTGCCATTTATGGGGAAAGTCCTTGAGAAAGTTGTCTACCTACAGCTTACTAGATTTCTTATAATCAACAACTCATTTGATATGTTTCAGTCCGGCTTTAGACCCCACCACAGCACTGAGACTGCTCTCGTTAAGGTTACAAACGATATCCGGCTGAACACTGACGCAGGCAAAGTCTCAATCTTAATCTTGTTAGATCTAAGTGCTGCCTTTGACACCGTCGACCATGAGATCCTCTTACAGAGACTAGAGGACTGGGTTGGCGTCACTGGCACCGCCCTAAGTTGGTTTAGGTCTTACCTTGAAGACAGGAAGTACTTTGTGGAGATTGGAAACTGTGTCTCAGATCATATGGCCCTGACCTGTGGAGTCCCACAGGGGTCGATCCTGGGACCTCTTCTGTTCAATCTCTACATGCTGCCGTTAGGTCAGTTAATACGCAGAAACAAAGTTTCCTATCATAACTATGCAGACGACACTCAGATCTATGTCTCACTGACTGCAGGAGAACATGGACCAGTGGACTCACTCCTTCACTGTATCCAACAGATCAGTGAGTGGATGCAAAACAACTTCCTTCAGCTAAACGCAGACAAAACTGAAATGATTGTCTTTGGTCCCCAGAAACAAAGAGAGAGCGTCATCTGTCACCTACAGTCTCTCTCCCTAAAACCTTCAAACAAGGTCAGAAATCTAGGGGTAATACTGGACTCAGACTTAAATTTTAAAAGCCACATCAAATCAGTAACATCAGCAGCTTTTTACCATCTAAAAAACATTGCCAGGATCAAAAACATAGTGTCTAAAGCAGACTTGGAGATTCTTATCCATGCATTTGTCTCCAGTAGGTTAGACTACTGCAATGGCCTGCTCACAGGTCTGTCCAAACAGGCTGTAAAACAGCTGCAGTACATTCAAAATGCAGCAGCTCGAGTCCTGACAAGAACCAGGAAGTACGACCACATTAGTCCAGTCCTCAGGTCTCTGCACTGGCTTCCTGTGGCTCAGAGAATAGACTTTAAAACAGCTCTGCTTGTGTACAAGTCTCTCCATAGCCTCGCACCAAAATATATTAGTGACATGTTAGTCCCATATGAACCAGCCCGGACTCTGAGGAGCACAGGGACTGGACTCCTGTTAGTGCCCAGAGTCAGAACTAAACATGGGGAGGCTGCTTTTCAGATTAATGCTGCTAAAATCTGGAACAGTCTTCCTGAAGATGTGAGACAGGCCTCCTCTCTGACAATGTTTAAAACCAGGTTAAAGACGGTTCTGTTTAACTGTGCATACAACTGAGGGATTTTATATTTTTATCTTTCTTTTTAATGTTCTGTGATAATTTATGATTTTAATGCTTTCTTGTTTTGTTCAGCACTTTGAATTGCCTTGTGTATGAATTGTGCTATATAAATAAACTTGCCTTGCCTTGCCTTGCCAAATCAAATGCTCCGCCCCATTTGAACAGAAATACATGAAAACAACACTATTGATGCATTTAAATTCCATTCATATAAAACATTATTAAAACGATAATGATTCAAAAACACCACGCTCTGCACGGTGGAATCTTTTATATTGTATAACTGTCTTCATTTCTTATCTTGTAATCCATAGACATCTCGTATACAGTGGCTGGCAAAACTAAGACATTATTTTGGATATTTTTTCACATTGTGAAAGAGGGCACATATTTGCATTTCTGATCAGTCCTCTCCTTGTTTGGCTTGTTAGTTTAAGGTAGATGGCCATGTCCTGGTAAATTTGCAGTTGTGCCAAAGTCTTTCCATTTTGGAATAATTCATTGAACAGTGTGACATAACCTTAAAATGCTTCAAACCCGACAGGTGTTACTGGGGAGTATGGTACATACTTTTAGTGGTCGGGGAAACTGGAGGACTATGGTACACCTGCACTTAGAGTATTACACTCTATTTAAGTGTTAGGGCAAGATGTAATCATGCATAACTGCTTTTGCTTCACAGTTGTCTGTTACTTGTGGTCATTCAAAACAGACCTTTATTTATTGTCGTTTATTTAACCAGAACCTCATGTGCCGTTAAGTAATGATACAAGCAAAAAAAAGCTTCATTCTCACGTGACAAAATGTGCAAAGGTTCAAGATATTTTACTACTTTTGAAAGCCACTGTAACTAGTAAAAACAGCTAAATCTATTTCCCGAGTTCCAACAATGTCTATATCTGCTCCACTTTGTTAGTTTTGGCTTCAGTCTGTTGTTCATGTCTTGGGAGTGTCACATTATCGCCGCGCTCCATCGCCTTCTTCAACTACGCTTTATCATTTAATTGCATCTGCAGCACTTTTCTGGATACACAAACATCTCTCTCCACTAGCTTTCTTTACCTGAGACAGAAGTGGAGGGGCGGTGCTTTCAAAGGGGGGATACAGTGAGGACAGCGCCCCCTGGACACAATCCTCCATGGCCTCGGAACCCTGCGGAAACAAATCAAAAGGGTTCGTTATAAAAGCAGATGTTGGAACTGGGATATTGTGTGTGTGATATTTTGGCTGCTTGTTTCTGCTGACACACACATCCACACTTCCTGGCGTACAGACAAGAGGCCACACATTTCCTCATGAGAATGTGAACAAATGTGAACAAAAGAGGAATACGTCAGAGCGAGCTGGCACCACTTCACCGAGTTAAAAATGGCTTTAACCCAGTAATGTTCACTCCTTGAAGCAAGCAATGTTTTTTTATTTTTTGTATTTTCTAAGATAAAACAGCACTAATATCACTAACAATGTGTTTTTACGTTTTTGTTTTTTTTTAACCACTATTTTTGTTTTAATTATCGGCCTTTACCAAATGGTTGAGAAGCAGTTTCATGGTAAAAGTGTCAAAAACTAAGTGAGATGCCCCAAAGAGGTAGATTTCAGTTCCAAACATGCTTAAAGTAGAGACAGTGACTCAAAATGTGATCTACCAAATGGTTGAGTTAAAGATGATTTGCTGCTACATATTACTACTGCCAAGGTGTGTGTGTGTGTGTGTGTGTGTGTGTGTGTGTGTGTGTGTGCATGTGTGTGTGTGACGGATTGAGGTCATGTGCATGTGATGTGATAGTAGGAAGACCTCATTCAATTTCAGGTGAATCCAAGATCTTGGCGGGGTATGCGCTTTCCGGGAGTGCATGTTTTAGTTTAGTTTAGGGTTAGAGTTATATTTAGCTTTATTTAGACTGCACTTTTCCCTGATAGTCACATACACATTATCATACTTACTGTTAAGATGTAAGCTACAATTACTACAACTAACGCAGCGGTCTACCATCACACCACTGACCAGGCCCTGCACTGCTTAAGAGAGCTTTAGAGACCGCCGTCTATATCTGCAGTATACATGAAGAATTAATTTGCAAAAACAGATATCTCCTTTTTGAAAATGTGTCAAAAAGTCATGTTCCTCTAGTTACAATCGTTAAATGTGTCGTTATAAACGGTGCATTTGAAGGTATTTTCTCAAGAATGGGTGAAAGTTTATATGTATGGCACTAAAATAGAACTGGCTTTTCAAAACTACTTGGTGAAGAGTAAATTGTAAGCCGTTCTGATATTTGTCTAATGTCCCTTATCTGTTTTAGCAAAGTATCTATTCATACATGGTGCATAGATGGTGTATACTGGTATAGACACTCGATACCATTACTGTTTAGAGCAATATTTTATGTCACATCCATCCATCCATCCATTTCCTACCCCTTAATCCATTCTGGGTGGGGTGGGGGGGTGGCAGTCAGACATAGCACCAGCCCCTCACTGATCCTCCTGCAGGTGGTGAGTCCACAGGAGGACAGCTGCTCTGTAAGTGTGAGCATAGCCTTGATCTTTCAGCGGGGGCTTTTTGGGCAAAGTGGGGTTAAGTGTCTTGCCCAAGGACACAAGGACAGCAGTCATCAGTGGGAGTGGGATTTTATGTCACAATACGTTTCAATTTAAAAAAGGCTAATCCATCTAATAGATCCATCTACAACAGGGCGTGTTACTGGCAGCTAAATACCGTTTGTTTCATATTTAGAGCAGTTGCCATGACAACCATCACAATTATCTCTTGTGTGTCTTTATCGGCGGTCATCTGTCAATAATTTCAACAGAACCGTCTGCAATAGAATTATACAGCGTTTGGAAAAGCAGTAGGCTTGGAGCAATGCATTACTAATATTAATCCCATACCTGAGACTATGGTGACAATAATAATAACAAAACCTGGCATCTAGAACAGAGAACTTGGAAAAAGGGAAGCAGGGCCCAGGAGAGACGCACGGACCAAATGTTTTGCACAAGTTAAGTTTTTGTTTTCCGAGCGCAGAGGGGGTTTGAGGTTAACCACGAGCAGAAAAGAAAGAGGAAAGAATTCAGAGAGGTTTGCATGTGCTTTCAGAACGCCAAACTCCTGACAATGACAAGTGTGGAGAAGTAGACAGGAAAAAAGGGGGCCTCTTCTATGCAATGCTGAAATGATTAGAAAACTCCATAGGGCATTTTGGATTTGTGGGTCATTCAGGGGAGACGTTAGATCCCGTTTCCTCTGTGCTCTGAATGGACACACATTTTTGAAACATGACTTCAGAAAGTATGCGGGAAACTGAATAGAACTCTCCTAAAAGTCAAGCTGCTGTACGTCCTCCTGGTAACAGCTCATTATGGAAAGCTGAAGTATTGTATGGCAGCCTGGAAGGACCAAAACATGCATCATCCGTGGGGTTTTCAAAGGAACCAAGTAATGAGTTCATGCTTTGGGGTTGGTGCAGGTGCGAGTTAAGCCCATAAGTAAGTAAGTAAGTAAGTAAGTAAAGTTTATTTGTATAGCGCCTTTCACAGACCAGGGTCACAAAGCGCTTCACACATTAAAATACAAAATACACACACAAGTCAGATAAAACAAACACAGAAAACACAATTTACATTCACAGAGGCCTATGAACAATGGTGCGAGAAAGCCTGTCCAAACAAATGTGTCTTTAGTTGGGACTTAAAATCATCAACAGTCTCTACGATACGCAGAGACTGAGGAAGCTCATTCCAAAGGCGAGGAGCAACTGCCTGGAAGGATCTGTCTCCTCTGGTTTTGAAACGAGTCCGGGGGACCATCAACAGGTTCTGAGTAGAGGACCTCAGACTCCTGTTGGAGACATAAGGATGGATCAGGCCCTGGATGTATTCAGGCGCCTGACCATGAAGGGCCCTAAAAGTCAACACCAGAATTTTAAAATGTATTCTGTGTGAGACAGGGAGCCAGTGTAAGGCCTTTAAGACAGGGGTAATGTGGGCTCTCCTGTGGGTGCGGGTCAAAAGCCTTGCAGCAGAATTTTGGACGACCTGTAAACGAGCCAGGTCTTTTTTGCTAAGACATGTAAGCAGGCTGTTACAGTAGTCCAATCGCGAGGAAACAAAAGCGTGGACAATCATCTCCAGCTCCGGACCCGAGACCATTTGTCTGAGCTTAGAGATGTTGCGCAAGTGGAAATTGCAGTTTCGGGTCAGCTGTTTGGTGTGTCGTTCTAGGGACATCCCTCCATCAAAAGTGACTCCCAGGTTCCTCACACTCTTTTTTACTGAGCTACTTAGGTCACCAAGGTGCTGAGCAATAACAGAAACAATATTGTCCGGGGCTAACACTAAGGTTTCTGTTTTACTGGAGTTCAGCTGGAGGCTATTTTCACTAAGCCATATCTTTATTTTGTCCAGACAGTTAGTGAGAGCAACCAGTCTCTGGGGCTCAGAGGGCTTAAAAGAGCAGTACAGCTGCAGATCGTCAGCATACAGGTGGTAGGAGACCTCACTGAACTGCTGGATCAGCTTTCGTAGCGGGAGCAGGTACAACATAAATAAAATAGGCCCAAGAACGGAGCCTTGGGGTACACCCCACTGTAGGTCTGCGGATTCAGACACCACATTGTTTGAAGACACACAAAAGGTTCTACCTGTAAGGTATGATCTAAACCACTCTAACACAGAGCCTGACATACCAACCACATCCCGGAGTCTAGAGATCAAGGTACCATGGTCCACCGTGTCGAAGGCAGACGACAGGTCTAACAGGACCAGGACAGAACATTTACCGGAGTCAGCAGCCATCATGACGTCACTAGACACCTTCAGTAAAGTTGTTTCAGTGGAGTGGAACCTCCTGAAACCAGACTGAAAGGAGTCAAAAATATTATTAGCCTCCAAGAACGCTGATAATTGTTTGTAGGCCAGCTTCTCCAGGACTTTGGCCAAGAACGGGATCTTTGATATGGGCCTAAAGTTCTGAAGATCTGTAGGGTCCAGGCTGGGTTTCTTTAATTGGGGCTCCACAACAGCATGTTTAAGAGAGCACGGGAACACACCAGTTGAGAGCGACATGTTAACCATTTTAGTGATCGACGGACCGATAGACTCTAAAACATTAACAAACAGCCGAGCTGGGACAACATCCAGGCGACAACACGACACTTTCATACTGGTTATAGTGCATAAAATATCCTCTTTCGTGACTGACTCGAAGGACAACCAGCTCTGAAGAGGAGGGTCAACCTGAGCATGACTGAAGGAAGGAGAGGGAGGAAGATTGTCTTTGATCGCTCTAACCTTGTCAATAAAGAAACTCAGAAACTCTGTGCAACCTGCTCTGCACTGCACTGCGACAGCAGCAGCAGCAGGAGAGACAATAGAGTTTATGGTGTCAAAGAGCACCTTGGGGTTTCTCTTATTGGAGACAATCAACTGCTGAAAATATTTTGATCTGGCCTCCTCTAATTGATTGTTTAGAGAGGCGACAAGGTCCCTCAGATGCAGTCTGTGAACCTCAAGTTTGGTGGAGTCCCACAAGCGTTCAATTTTACGGCAGGATCTCCGGAGATTCACAACAGTGTCATTAATCCAGGGACAAGTCTGTTGATGCTCCGTATTAATAGTTTTAAAAGGAGCTACTTGGTCCAGGATGGATGTACAGTGATTATTAAAAGAGCACATGAGCTCATCCATTTCGGTGCAGTCATATACAACAGAGGCGTTAAAACTTTCACAGAACCTTTCTGCAGTAGAATCCGTAATAATCCTCCTCTCTACTTTAGCAGGTAGGGGGCGAGGGTCTGAGGATCCCAGCAGATCAAAAAAACACACCGTAATGGTCACTTAGGTGCACATCCTCAACACTCACATTGGCCACCTGAAGGCCCAATGTAAAGACCAGATCTAATGTGTGGCCTTTCACATGAGTGGGGCCTGAGACATGCTGCGTGAAATTAAAAGCTTCCGTCATGGATACAAAATCAGCAGCTAGACCCGAAGTATCCTCAATGTGCAGGTTAAAATCCCCAAGGATTAAGACCTTCTCCAGTCTTAAAATGGACGATAAAAATTCAGTAAACTCAGCTAAGAAAGCACCAGCAGGGCCAGGGGGACGATAAATCAAAACACAATAAAATGTGTTTGTAGAGCCGATTTGC